ATATCCAAATGTAAAATATAAAAACCAAGTATAATCTACATCTCTATTGATCAACCAAATTTATACTAAGATTGCTCCTTCTACTAACATCCAACTAAGTGGATAATATAATCTATAATATTCTATAATAGATGGTAATTCATTCAATTAATATTTAATTTCTAATTAAATATTTTTAAAGGTTTAAGTAATCTTATTTATTTTGGTTGTCTTTACACTCAATACTATTCCTGATAATATTTACTTTATTATTGGATCTATTTCTTCTTCAGTCTTAAACAATTTCAATATATATTTCTATATATTTATCACCAAATTATCTTTTCTTCTTTTTTGATTATGTATCTAAATTGGTTTAATCTTATTATTAATTTCCATCTAATCTTCCTCTTTATACAGTGTATTATGAACATATATTGAATGAAATTGTGTTAAGGTCTTCTAAAAACAAAAAAACAATAGTTGTAATGATAATATAAATAAGAATGATTCTAATGAAATTATATATTAGAATAGATCAAACATATTATAAGCAAAGTAATCCAAATAACCAATAGTACAGAAAGCAAAATAAGAAATAGGCAATATTATATATTAATACAAATTAGCATGTGTTAACTATTTTGTTAAATCTAATAACAATATGATAACAAACATTTGGATTGATTTCATTTCTTCATCAAATATTTTTCCATTGTTGTTTCTAATATCCATAATACTTATCATTATAGATATAATAAAGGCTTCAGATGCTGAATAGAGTATTACCTTATAAAAAAATAACCAATATCTCATCTATCTAAAATCTAATTGATTTTGATTAAAGAAATAGACTAATTAATTTTTAATATTGGTCACTTTCTCTTCCTTTGGTGTCATCCTCTAAATATATAATAAGAGACATGGAATGATATATAAAAAACTTTGAAAATAATCTAAAGGTGGATAATATGTAATTCCTTAAAATAAAATCTAAAAAAATAGTGTAAAACAGAGTAAATAACTTCTATAAAATGAGAATGTAATAATATTCTCTAATAATTCTGCTGATTGTCTACTTTCAGATAATACTATGGATATTAAATTTGGATAATCTTTAACAACAATATCTGTAGTACCAACATAAGGTATATTATTATACTAATACTCTATTTTAACTGGAATACTTACTTTTGAAATCCTTTATTGCAGGTTTAAATGTAATCTAATGAAGTCTTATACTTTTTGAATCCTTTTTGGTTCTTTACAATTGTTCCATCTTTTCAACGGCAACCTATTAATAAAGTCTTTGACTCTATAATTAAACAGCAAAATCAGAATATGCCATCAATCTACTATCATTAGCATCATCTCCAATTACTAAGACTCTTCTTCTCCAAACTTATTTTTCTTAAAGTATTTTAACTAATATTGCTTTTTGAGTTTTAGTCATCCTATAACCTACTACAGAAGTAGAGAATGCAATAATAAAACATAAATGATTAAACAATGAATTATCTTATGATATTTTATCCAAAGTTTCTCCATGAATTAAAATAGAGAATGGTTTAATTCTTTATTAAGAATTTTAGAATCCAGGTAATAATCCTTTAGCACTCTATCTTCTACCACTTGTATGAATAGATTTACGTTTCTGACTAGGACTCATTACTATTCTATCAGATTATCTTTTTTCTACAAGAACTGAATCCTCCTTCAAATGTTTAATCTGATTATTATATAACCATTAAATTTATTATTTAATCTATAGACTAGCATCTTATTAATCAAAATGGATTATAGGAATCAAATCTTTCAAAATTTCAGTCTTATAAGCAATAGGTAATACTTTATCTAATGAATCTCCACTAGCAATCCAAATAATCATTTCTGCAGCCAAGAAATTTTTAATTACTGTAATAATAGATTTTCTTAATTTCTCTTTGATTCCAATAACTAAACTCAATTCATAGGCTCTTGGTTATGTTTTCAATTCTTATAATGGATTTTTAATAAATTATGAATATTATATAGTATCCATAAATGACTTAAAGAATACAACTGGTCTACATCCATTCATATATAATTTATAGATCATATTATCCCATTTTTCTCTTTCTTCTTTATTCATTAATATCTAATCACTCATTTCTTAACTATCATCTCTTATAAATTAAACATAATCATATGTTTAATCTATATCTTCAAAGAATCTTCTGTAATCTTATTTTGTTAGTATCACACTTACTTTATAATGTTCTAATTAAGTTACAATAACAGGTATTTCAGTCAATCTACCATTGATTTCCACAATATATTTACTTTTATTAACTGCTGAACATACAAATCTATAATTGAAATGAGAAATGAATTCTAATTATAGATTATCTATTTTTGATGAAAATTCATGTTTAAATGTATCTTCAGATTTATTATATGTTGATTAAGTATTATGACAAATCATTAATATAAAAATAGCTTCTTCAGTTTATTTTCTACTTTCATTTGTAATTAATTTATTAAGAAAATCCTTTTCATCTAAACTTCTTAAATCATCATTATTCTTATTTAAACCTTCTTCTGACATATATTTTGTAAAATTCATTGATCTTTCTGCTCCAAATCTTTTTTATTTATCAGATCTATCTATTTTAATACTATGTTTAGCTCTAATAGTTATACCAGAAATCAAAGTAGATTTCTTCATCTCTTTTGGACTATATTATTATTGATTACTATTTAAAGATTATTATTAATTATTTAATAATTATTATTAATTATTAATATTATTATTACTACTTTATTATTATATACTATTAATATTAATATTACTATTTTATTATTATTATTATAAATATTATTAGACACCACTTCCTTATCCATTATTATTTATATCTGTATTTGAACCCCATGAATCTTGAAACATTTTAGGTTATTTACTTCTATGTATATCTCTTAATTTAAAATTATCATCTATTATTTCTTCAGGATCAAAATTAGCTTAATCATTATTATTAGTATCACAATTTTCTTAATTAGATGGTATCTATAATTCCTCTTATTAAACAGGTCTAATTGATGGATGTTTAGATGCACGTTTCATTTATTTAGGTTTTGGTGATATTCTTACTTATGATGCTTCCTTTTAATTAGATTAAGATTCTTTCATTAAAAATTATTATATTTCTTAATTATCTTACTATTATTATTAATAATTTTTCCATTCATATAAATCATCAAATGTTTTATTCTTAATGGAAAACAATTGATCATTAAAATTAATCATCTTCAATTTAAAAGATGGAATCGTCATTGTACCTGTTTTATCAAATATTACACTATCTATTAAACTAAGATCAGCTAAAGGTGAATCATTAATTCTTTAATAATTAGAAGATAATTGTAAAGTAGTATTATTAGTAGTCTTTGTAGTAGGTTGAATTACTTATTTTTAAAATTAATACTATTTAAATATCATTGTACATAAGGTCATAAAATCAAACATAAAGTGTAAATAATAGGGGATCATATTAAGATATCCCAAAAGATATTTACACAAAGTCTAAAGAGTCCATTATCTACCATAAGACATAAATCTTAATGATTCTGTCATCCAAGAGGCAAAAGACAATACAATCAAAAGAATAAGGGTGAATTAAAAAAATCTATCAACTTTTGTATAAAAGAAAGAATGATTCACTCTAGTTTTAGGTTAATTGTAATAGTAACGACAACTTAATCCAGCATATAAAACTAATCCATATATGTAATCACAATTCAATAAGAGTTATTCTCTAAAGATTATATTCTCTTTTTTTATATCTATAGCTTAAGGATCATTTTTGAGTCTTACAAAACCTGAATATAAAGATTTATCATTGATATTTCTATCATAATTGACTTTACCACTTAATAAAAGTCTATATTCAAAAGAATTATTTTTAAATTGATGCATTCTAGACATACTAGTTAAGATATTTGGTTATTTATATATTTAATTAGTATTTCCAGTAAAGTTTGCAACATCAACATTAAAATGATCTGAATTTGATTCCAAAATCAATAAATCAGCAGGACATAATTCATTTCTTTATAATACAACTATATCACCAACTTCTACTTCATCCCAACAAACAGTTTCAAATATTTACACCTTTTATTCTGGTCTTGGTGTTGATTAAACTTTCTTTTCTTCTCTAAATGATGAAATTATCATAGGTTTATATATATCTTATTTACGTGGAGCTGAAAAGAGAATGATATCATTGTTATTATGATGCTTTATATCTTCATGTATTTGAGTCTTATTTGTTGAGTTAATTCTCTTTAACCTTTTAAATATAGTCACTTTTCTTTTATTGATTTATTTGTCTTATTGATGTTTGATCATTGAATAATATAACATCTTTATTAAGTACATGGCAATACCCACCAATAAAGGAATTACAAATTGATAGAATAGTGAAAAGTCTTCGCCCTTTAAATCAATTATCGATAAACAAACTATATTGATTATGATGAATATCCAGTTCCCTGGACGGTTGGCATACTCTCCCAATATTTGTGAGTAAGAGAGATATGAATGAATTCCATTATGTAATTCAGCAGATGCTATTCCTTTCAAATTCACAGATTCCCCCATCTCGAATTCTATCTACACTATCATATAGCTTTTCTACCTGCCTTGAATAGAGCTCTTCCGATCTTCGTATCATCTTGGTCACATATTTCTTATTAATGTACTCGTATAGAGCCAAAGCAACTTTTTACATTTAATAATAATAACTTAAATAATTTCATTGATATTTTCACATTTTTAACTTCCATCATTAACATATTCTTTATATTTTATCCATAAATCTAAATAAATTACGTAGTGTATTTATTATAAGGTTAAAATATTTAGAATCAAATTCCAACGTCATAAATTAATAGCAAATCAAATAATATGAATAAGCAGATCTAAATGTTTATGGAATATTAATAAAATCTTTTTATATATCTAATACACTAACTAAAATATGAAAAATAGTCAGAAATTAAATGTCACTCAAAAAATTTAACAAATCTACAATTATCAAGAGATGCTTGAATAAGAATAGATATCAAAATAACTTAAAGATCAATTATTACTTATATTTAATACTTCAAATGAACAAATTACCATCAAGAATGCACTTGAAATAATTAAATCTGAGAATTTTCTAGAAACTCATAAAGCATTAATTTAATTGAGAAAGACCTTGTCTGTATTATTGTTTCAATAATTTAATAAGAATTTTGATTAAGAACAAATATTTACTAATGAACTCGTACCACTTCTATTTTATTTAATCCAATATGGAAGTACTTACATTATTAAATTGGAAGCAACATGTTATATTAATTGTATATATTAGAAATTATCTCCATTTTTGCAGGAGGAAAAAGTCATATTTCAAGAATAATCTTTGAAAATGGAATTGTTTAATTGGCTTTCTCCATCTTTCAAAATGATAACCCAGAATTATAAATCTTGATAATGATCATATTAGGTAAATTGGCAGGCGATTCAATCTAATATAGAGATTCCATACTTTAACTCTGTAATTTAGATACAATTATAATGAAAATGGAATAAAGATACGAAACAACTTATGTATGGTGTTTAGCTAATATGTGTATTGGAAGACCTAGTCCAAAATTCGAATTGATTAAACCAGCCTTTAATTTATTCATGAAAGTTCTAATGTATGAACCTACATAAATTAATATAAAAATGATGAATGATGCAATCTGGGCTCTTGGATATATGTTGGATGGTGAACCTACTCGAATAAATATACTTATTGAATAAGGTATTATCAAAAAATTGATTGAATTGATGAATTAATGCAACTTTGTTTCTATTTTGAGAATAGTTGAATGTATTTTCTAAGGCAATCAAGAATAAATTCGCTACTTATTAGAATGTGGATTCTTATCTTAAATCAGATATATTNTCGTATCATCTTGGTCACATATTTCTTATTAATGTACTCGTATAGAGCCAAAGCAACTTTTTACATTTAATAATAATAACTTAAATAATTTCATTGATATTTTCACATTTTTAACTTCCATCATTAACATATTCTTTATATTTTATCCATAAATCTAAATAAATTACGTAGTGTATTTATTATAAGGTTAAAATATTTAGAATCAAATTCCAACGTCATAAATTAATAGCAAATCAAATAATATGAATAAGCAGATCTAAATGTTTATGGAATATTAATAAAATCTTTTTATATATCTAATACACTAACTAAAATATGAAAAATAGTCAGAAATTAAATGTCACTCAAAAAATTTAACAAATCTACAATTATCAAGAGATGCTTGAATAAGAATAGATATCAAAATAACTTAAAGATCAATTATTACTTATATTTAATACTTCAAATGAACAAATTACCATCAAGAATGCACTTGAAATAATTAAATCTGAGAATTTTCTAGAAACTCATAAAGCATTAATTTAATTGAGAAAGACCTTGTCTGTATTATTGTTTCAATAATTTAATAAGAATTTTGATTAAGAACAAATATTTACTAATGAACTCGTACCACTTCTATTTTATTTAATCCAATATGGAAGTACTTACATTATTAAATTGGAAGCAACATGTTATATTAATTGTATATATTAGAAATTATCTCCATTTTTGCAGGAGGAAAAAGTCATATTTCAAGAATAATCTTTGAAAATGGAATTGTTTAATTGGCTTTCTCCATCTTTCAAAATGATAACCCAGAATTATAAATCTTGATAATGATCATATTAGGTAAATTGGCAGGCGATTCAATCTAATATAGAGATTCCATACTTTAACTCTGTAATTTAGATACAATTATAATGAAAATGGAATAAAGATACGAAACAACTTATGTATGGTGTTTAGCTAATATGTGTATTGGAAGACCTAGTCCAAAATTCGAATTGATTAAACCAGCCTTTAATTTATTCATGAAAGTTCTAATGTATGAACCTACATAAATTAATATAAAAATGATGAATGATGCAATCTGGGCTCTTGGATATATGTTGGATGGTGAACCTACTCGAATAAATATACTTATTGAATAAGGTATTATCAAAAAATTGATTGAATTGATGAATTAATGCAACTTTGTTTCTATTTTGAGAATAGTTGAATGTATTTTCTAAGGCAATCAAGAATAAATTCGCTACTTATTAGAATGTGGATTCTTATCTTAAATCAGATATATTCTAGATCCAAAAAGTCGTGAAAAGAGTGGAAACATGATATAAACATTTGCAGCTACTGAAACCTTATTTAAAGTATTATCTAATTAGAATTTCTTGATATCATTATTTAATTCTTTATTAGATGACAATTCAGAAATAAGAGGAGATGCTTTAGAAATGATTGGAAATGCAATATAACATGGGACTAATGATGATGTAAATCAGATGGTCAAAAATAAACTCATTCATAGGATTTTAGGAATGTTGGAATTAGCATAAGAGAAAGAAATATCATCTCATCATCTTAAGAAAGGATTAGAGATTCTAATAAAAATACTACGAAAAGGGGAGATCAAATCAAGGGATAGATAGAACAATCAGTATTTTACAGTATTCATGTAGATTGAAGGAAAAGATGTAATACAAAAGCTATTATCCTTTAAATAGGATGACGTTGCGAAATATGCTTACATCTTTAAATAGGAATTCACCTTATGAATACATAAAAATTATAAAATTATATCCAATTTTTCTTTTAAGAATGATCAAACTTTTTATACTGATTCCGTTTGTTGTAAAGGCCATCTTTCAATATACCGTCAACTATGGAGAGGTCAAAACTCTCTTCAATATTAACGATGCCTTGGAGGCTGAATTGATTTTGTTAGAGTACTCAATTCAAATAAGTCTCTAGATCAAGTGAAGAAGCATAGTGCTCTCTCCTTAGTCCTACTATTCAGTTCCAAGAGTAAACAATTCGTCGATTATCAGAATATACAGATTCTGATACCAATGATTTACTAATAGATATGATCACTATAAATGATGAAGTTTAGATAGGTCTTACTGCAAATTCCAATTTATTATACTTTTATAATTCTACTAATACAACCACTCTATAGAAATTAAGTATTAATATTGAATAGGAAATATTACCTTAATTGCTTTATTAACCTTAATAATTAATTATTATATATCCAAAGATTGCTTATTCAGTAGATATATAATAAGGAAATGTATGGAAATTGATTCCCACTTTTTAAGGTAGAAATAATCGTTACTATTCAAAAATAATAAATTCTTTTTTAATATCTGCAGTTGGAACTGATGGCTTGGATATTTATCGTAATCAAACACTTATGGATACATTAAATACTGTAACAATAGGAATCCAATAAATTGATTTCAGAGACTTTGCTATCTATCAATTTAATGATAAGAAATTTCTAATATTTATCTTATGCAAAATAAATGGAATTGTAGTAGTTGAATTGTCCATACTTAGAGAATAATAAATTACTTACAAATTATTATTAAAATAGATTGGTCCTAGATCTGATGGTATTGTAATTGATCTTTTTGATGAATCTAATGTCTTTGTGGCTTATAAAAGCACACATTATTATTATTTGATTCATTATAATATTGAACCTTATAATAAGAAATGGAGTTCTATTGCCAGATATAATATTTCTAATCGAATCATAGATATTGATGTAAATGAAAACTATGTTTTGGTTTAGGGAACATATAATCATCATTTTATTTAATATAAGAAATAATTGAAAAGTGTCTCATTTCGTTTAGGTTCAGTCAAACAGTTTGTAACATCATAAAATTATATTTATGGTACTACATCTAACTATTTATTCAAATTTCATCCTTTAATTTAACCATATTCAATTAAATGCTATATCGAGTGTAAATAAATTCAATAGAAATTTTAGCTGATCAAAAATTTATTCGATAAAAATATAAATTACTTTATAAGACACAACTTAATTGGTAATCAACAGAATTTGAGGTTCTCTTCAATCAAATGCCATTTTCGATATCAACAAATTTGATAATATTGATTTTAATATTATCATTCATCCTACTCCTAGGAATCCTAATTGTCTATCAATATAAACAATATCAACATACAAATAATGAAAGACTTAATTTGGAATTGAAAATATAATATTTACCTTAAAATAGAGCTTCCAAATTATTAATGCCTCATACTTTTAGAATTAATTAATAACATGTTGACTAAAAAATGAATACAATGAATTTTACAGATGAAACTATCTATCCAAAAGATAAGAAGATATTTTGAGTTTTTCATTCACACTGTTATCCATTTAAAATATAAAATTTTTTATTACATAAACTAAATTAAATATATTATATATCTCTTTCATTACGCCATCAATTAAATCTAAAATAAATAAAAAAGTGTATTATTAGAAAAGTATAAAATTATTCAATTAATAATTATTAGAAAATTAATAATCCTATTATATTCTTTAATTGAGAGAATATAATAGGATTTTTTCTTTTTTTATAATTTAACTTTAGGAAATAAACATAATAATTCCACTATGATTAAAATGCTAAAATGGGAAATATAATATTTGTAAATGATGTAATATAATGATACAGACTATTTATAATATTTGCTTCAAAAATTTTTATAAATTAAAGAGCTGCTTCAAATATTTATGTAAGTATTAGACTACTTTGATATATAATAAAATTAATGTTTATGTTTTTAGCTTAAATTAGTTATGATAATTTAATGGAAATTAAGTTGAATTATAATGTTTAGGTTAATGATTAAAGTGAATTATATACAATTAGATATTAATATTACATTTTATAATAATAACAAAAATGTTGCCTGGAGAATATAAATATTTGAGTATTATAGCTAGAACATGGAATGAAGTCTATTTGGCTGAAAATGTAATATCGAATCAAAAATACTGTATCAAACAAGTTTTGATTGATTCCTAATTAAAAGAAAGGTTTTCATAAGAAATTTAGATTTTGTAAAAAATTAAGGCTAATCCTCATCCTAATATAATTGCATTTGAGGATAGCTTCTACTATGAGAAGGTTACTACATAGGATAAAGTAAGAATATGCCATTTTAATGCAGTCTATCACTTTTGGGTGTATTGTGATGGAATTGGGAATAACCAATTTATCTCAATACATTAAATCTAAGAAATAGTCTGATCCAGATTTTAGATTTAAAGAATAAGATGTGGCTAATTTTTATATATCAATGATTAAGGCTCATAAACATTTATAAGAGATGAAAATAGCTCATAGAGACATAAAGCCTGAAAATATTATACTAGTAAATGATGAGAATTTAATTTTTAAAGTTTGTGATGTAATTTAATTATTATACCAAGCAAGGTGGGTTTTGGTACTGAAATTATAGATGAGGAATCAAGATCTCGTACTATTGGAGGAACTATAGGATATCAATCTCCAGAAATCTATGCAGCATTTAAAAGGAGAAAACCATAAGCAAAATATAATCCTTATAAGAGTGATGTATTCTCATTAGGATTAGTTTTTCTTTTGTTTGCTACCACTTAAGTAATTAACAAATAAGTAAATGATAAGATTTAAATAAATAGTAAAGAGAAGAGTTATTTGATGATGAAAAAAAGTTGTTTAATTATTTAAAAGAATTGAGGAGAAATATCAAGGAAACTTATCCTCGTATTAAAGGGATTTCAAAGATTTTAAAATTAATGTTGGAAATTTCACCAGATGAAAGATATGACTTTATATAATTAAATGAAATTATTCATGAAAGATCATATCTTGAAGTAAAATTGGTATAATTAGAAATTATATTGAATAGCCTGCCAAAATAAATCATTAACATTTACAGTCTATAACATAATTTGAAGATTTTTAATTAGATATTAAGAATAAGGAAGATGTTCAATTAGATTTAAATGGGATGTAAAATAAATCACCAGATGAGTTACTTAAGGTATTAGAGACAATCACACAATAAGTGAAGAATTTTTAGATGGTCACTTTGTAAATAAAATTAGAGATGAGTCATTTAAATGTAAGAACAGTTGCTCCATTAGAGAAATTATTAAGTAGAGCTTAAAATCTAAAAGAATTATCTTTGCAATTATGGAAGTATTGAAATATGTCTAAAATCAAAGTAATAGATTAGGAAATTTGGGTTTGTTGATGTTATCAAAGGCAATAATGAAGATGGTGGGTTTGAAAAGATTAAACTTAGAAATATCAAATAATATGCTTTCAGATGAAGGAATCAATAATTCTTTACCTCTTCTAGAGAATTTGTCATAAATGGAAGAACTTCGTTTGGATTTTGGATTGTATATGTATGTTAATAAATGAAGAAACCATCTTCCTATGGAATGTTGCGAAGCTTTTTTTACAGTGATTTGTGCAATGCCAAAATTAAAGAAATTGGATCTCAATTTAGAAAGCAATTATATGAATCAAGTGTTATCAAAGATGGTTAATTAATCACTTAAGAAATTACCAAATTTAAGTCATTTGATCATTAACTTTTCAAAGTATGAAGTTTAGATATATATATATTAGCAATCCAATGCATAATGAAGGATTGTATGAATTAGGAGAAAGCATATCAGAATTAGAATATTGTGAATTGATTTTATGGAGTTGTTAAATAAAAGATATGGGAATGGAAGAGTTTGCAAAAGGGTTATAGAAATGTTAAAAATTGAAATAATTGAATTTGGTATTATGGAATAATTCAATTACTAAGAAAGGTTGTGAAGCTTTGGGATAGGCATTATTAAAATTACCTAAGCTTTGTATATTGGTGATTGATTTATCTAAGAATAAGATTGATGATGATGGTGTAAGATTTTTGGCTAAGGCAATTCATGAGATGTAATAATAATTGAGAGAATTAAAACTTTGGATTGAAAAGTATGATTTATTAATCATTATATAAGTGTTAATTGTACTTCTTATGGATTGAGATATGTGAATAGATTTATGACAACTCAGAGAAAATTGAGAATTATTAATATGAACTTTAGATCTAATCAAATAGGATTAAATGGAATGGAATTATTGTATAATTGTTTTGGAGAAGCAGTGCAATTAGAAGAAGTAAAATTGATTTTAGATCAGTAATTATAAAATTATATTTAGCAATCCTTTAGGTGATGAAGGAGTGGATACCTTATTTAAGGGATTATAAAAGTTGAGAGAATTAAAAAAGTTAATTTTAGGTTTAGAGAGTGTTTAAGGAACTGGGGGTTCAGTTTCTGTGATGCTTTAATCTATAAAATTATGGTCTGAATTGAAAGAGATGCATGTGAATTTTTTAAAGTAATATAATAGAATAATCTTAGAAATCAAACTGATTAGGGAGATGAATTAAATTTGAATAATAGATTGTTAGAATTGTAAACAGCTGCTAAGATTAACATTGAATTAAAGTTTATAAATAAATAGTGATCATTTTATATAGTTTTTATAATGAAAATTTAATGTATTCAAACAAAAATTAATTATTTTAAGCAACAAAAATGATTATTCACAATCATGATTTTGAATAATAATAAGTAATATAATTTTAAGGAAATCTTATATATTGATTTAAATTAAACATTAGTCTTTATATTTGTAAGATATATATTCATATGATATTATACAAAAGAGGTTTCATTTAGATTTAAAGAGTTTTTTAGATGAATAATCTACATTTTTAATTGATACAGGATTCAATTTTTAAATTGATATATTATTTCAAATAGAATATTTGGAGGAAGAGAAATAAGATATTCATAATAAAATATTCTGATTGCTGTATATTCAAAATTTTATTGAAACCATAATTTAGATAGAATAAAGACAAAAATTATTTGATAAAGAAGGTACAAAAAGATGAAATTAAAATTAATATAAAATAGTAGTATAAATAATATTATACTACAATAATTTATAAGAGGAATCTTAAATAAATTTGGAATTGCAATTGATGAATAAGAAATAAGGTTTGATACATTAGATTATACAAACCTAATCTCATTTAATTATATTTTAATAATAATATGGGTTTCTACTTTCATTGAATATTTTTGGTAGGTGATTTATGGATAAAACAAGCTATGGAATTATCAGTACTAATTTATAAGAATAGAATCACTATAATATTATACTACAATTATATAGACTATGATTGTTAGTAATAATAATTATAATAAGAGTCATTTTTAATAAAAAATTAGTCAATCTAGGAGAATAAATAAAGTTAAATGGTATATTAAATAATTCAACAATAAGGAGTGTTATTTTGAGAAATACTTAATAAGATTATAATATATTTAATAGAATCTGTGAAAATTAAAAGGAAGTGAATATAAATCATAATCATATTAAAAATAGTGATTATTATTAATGATTCTAATTTAATAAATATATTTGAATTTTTTGGTTATAATTAATTATTTATAAAAAATTTAAATAAAAGAAGATAAGCAATGGTTTTAAAAATATTTAAATTATTATTAGTCAAGAACAGGACCATAGAATCAAGTAATATTTGATGGGGATAAGAAGAATTCGATTAGAACTTATAATGGTATAATTGTTTAATTGAAACAATAGATAATGTGAATAACAGACAAGGATTCAAAATAGGTTGGGATATAGATTAAACTAGAAAAGAAGATTTGAAAATTGCTGGCAAAGTTGGCTAAGACTAAAGGAACACAAATAATGTTGCTTATCCAGGAAATGTCTATTAGAATGAAGTATATAATGATAATATCAGTAAAAATAAGATGATGATTATATGAAATAAATGTACTACTAAGAGATGGTTAGGAAATAAGAATAGGCTGGACTTGGAGTCTAACATAAACAATCAGAACAGTATTATTAAGATTCACTTGATCAATATGGGAAACCATATGGAGCTTATAATAATTAAGACAATCATAATCATGATTATTAATAACCATAATAACTATTGTAATAATCTAATAAATATGATCATTATCAATAACCTAATGATGATGAAGCACTCTATTAAAAGGTATATAATTTATTTTATATTCTTAGTATAAATAAGGAAATAATGGTAACAAAGTCTATTCTGCAAAACCACCAGTTTCATAATATAATCCAATCACTGGAGTTGCTTATGGTGCTTAGAATAATTAGAATACTTATAATGGAGATACTGCCCATTAAGGTGTGTCATATTAGAAATCTAATCCTTATGAATAATAATAATAATAGGATGATGCTCTTAGTCAATTTAGTTAATGTAAAAGATAGAATCCTATTCAATAGTATAATAGCATAAAATCACTTCTATGAAAAATAAGAACTCGAACATTTTCAATGCCGATCTCCAAGAGACTGAGAATATAAACACTAGATAAAATAGTAGAGTTTTAAATCGAAAGAAAGAATTGGATGATGCTTAATATAAAGGATATGGTAAGTAACTATTGTAATCATAGGACAATTTTACAATAATCCTATAGAATAAGCTCCAAGTCAATATAGGGAATAGAAATTTGTAAACAGGAACAAGATTGATAATCACATATTTCCAAAATGATTATTTATATATATATATAAATAATTATTACACGTATATTGCAATTATATCATTTATGTATTATTATATTGTAAATCAATAATTAAAATAAAATGAGTTAAGAGACTCTAAATGGAATCAATGGAATATTGACTGATGTATAAAGTTTTGGATAAGAAAGTTATAGATTTATTAGAAAATGTACAAAACCAGATAAAAGAGGTATTTATAATATTGAAATTAGAATATATAAAAATTGCAACATCATGTGCTATTGGATTTGTAGTAATGGGAGCTGTTGGATACTTCATCAAATTAGTCTTCATTCCAATAAATAATATTATTTTGAGTGCAAATTGAATCAATATTTTTTTACATTATTATTCGATATTATTAATATTTATTTAATGAACAATATATAAAATGATCACCAACATGATGCTTCTTTTAATTAATCAATGGCTTCATCTACAAATGAATTAAATTATTCTTCTTCTTTAAACATTTCAATGATTTCATCAATTGAGTAATTTGTTGGATCTGATAAAATTTCACTTATTCTCTTCCAATGTGCTTCTGTATCAGTATTAAGTCTAGCCTTAATTCTATAATAAAGCATTTGTCTAAAATTATAGTCATAATATTATACTAAATTTATCTGAGTTATTCATCTTAAGGTTTAGCTTTGAAAGCTTCTAAATTACTCAACAAATCTATCAAATCTTATCTCTTATTGAATGGGATATCTTAAGGAAGAGCTTATTATTTGAAATCAGGCTATTGAACAGGAGGAGGAATATTAGGTCTAACAGGTTAAGGGAATCCTGGTATTTATTATGGGAAAGGTCTTCTCATTCCTCCAGGTCCACCTTACATTCTCTATTACATTTGATAAGGAGGGAAAGGCATTCTTTAACCAAATGGAGTAGGACCTTATGGAATAGAATACATTCTTCTATTGGGTGATTATCTTAAATTATTTCTTCTTTATCCTCTTTATTATGATTATTAAGGGAAAAGATGTTAAAAGTATTTACCACCAGCTGTTTCAACATTTGGATCAAAAAGTTTTTTAATTTCTTCAAACTTTTCATTTTCTTTGAAACTCTTAACCAATTTATTAGCTTCTGAAGCTTATTCAAAGAAAATATATCCAATTCTGATAATTTATTAGAAACCTTATTACATTTTTTCTAATCTAATCTAATATAATAGAATAATAGGATTACCATTTGAATATCACCATATCCACATTCTTTAAGAGTAGTTCTGATCATTTCTTCAGTAACATTTCTTGAGAGATGATCAGCATAGATATATTTAGCAAATATATTATTATCTCTTTATTATTTTCTATCTGTCTTAGTCTATGCCCATCCAACATACATCATTCTACCAGTACTCAAAGGATCCTTCTTTTAAGTAGTACCAAGTGTTCTTTAAGCTTCCTTAGCATCTTGATGTCTATTGAAACTAACAAATGCAAATGGTGCTTTTCTTTCAACATCTATTTTGACTAAAATTGAAACAATTTATCCATAACCACTAAACCATTCATCTAATTTAGCTCTCATTTCTTTTTCCTAGAATGATGAACCTTAAATTTACTAATGATTCACGAACTTCTGCATTATCCAAATCATAATTATCAAGAGATGGCCAGAAGTTCTTAATGTAAAGATTATTTCGTTTATCTTCTCTGTCTGTTGTGCCTTTTCTAACAAATCTTTTGACAATGATCTTTGTTTTCTCATTGTATACTATTGTACCATCTGTACTATCAGCCAACAATGCATTAGCTTATTCTTTCTTCTCATATTAAACCCATCCATAACCTAAACATAAATATCATTATTATACCTCTACTTTTCTTATTCTCATCAGTTGATAATTTTACACTGACAACTTGACCCCATTTTAAAAAGAATTCTTCAAGTTGTTTTAATGTTACTGTCAATTCAAAGCCAGCAAAGAATAAGTTAGCATCCTTATCGTATTCTTGGATGTAAGTGATACGCATAGGATCTCTTAAGAGTTATTTATAATTCATTGCTTCTTTTGCTTTACGAGCTTCTTCTTGAGATGAGAAATATATGAAAGCAAAATGCTTTGACTTTCCAATAAAAGGATATCTATTTTAGGATTACATATTCATACCTATGCAATTTTACGAAATTAATTTATCCAAACTTTCTAAATTCAACATATAATTATTCTTCTGTGATACCTTCCTCTAAATCAGCAATATGAAGTCCATTTTATGATGGTCTGTTTTGATCTTAATATGATGAGAACCTTAACACTAATACAATAAATCAAACACTTTACTTTGAATCCGATTTAATAAATAAGATTTAAATTTCTTTTAATTTTTCTTAATGCTATTCCCGCTTTGCAGAGATTTTATTTATGCTCAACGATAAGGACTTAAATTTAAAAAAGAAGTCACTATCTAAATTTCAAACAATATCCTCATAGATCAAGATGGTCATCAATACTAGATTTAAACACAATAGTAAGACATCTAAGGTATTATCTGATAAATTTAATTAAGGAATTGCATCTTCATTCGAAACACAACTTAATGAGAAGGATGAAGTATTACTAATTATCAAAGAACTATTATGTAATGGATAAAATATCAAGACAAACATTGCAATCAATATGAAGTAATAAATTCAAAAGTCAACAGAATCTGCTATATTATACAAATAAATAAAAAAGAAGATCAAAAAATTCAATCAAGTTTTTTAAAAATCTGGTTAAAAACAATTATTAACCAAAGAAATCATCCAACAAAGATAATAAAAAGAATAAGAATAAGTACCTCGTAAAAATTCAGAATCATTAACCATTACAAATAATGAAATAAGCTATATCAAATATCTTGAATCATTGAGCAATGGCATAAGCAAAAGTAATTATTTATAAATATCACTTCTTAGAATACGTAATTGAATATTTTAAGAAATAGAAAATCAGAAATGAGAAATTCATTAATTTATTATATCCACCTCTTTAAATTGAATAAGAACTATTTGAATTTTAATGAATTAACAATATCATTATTATATTATTTAATCCTCTTCAATTCTTCTCTAATTTCTCATTTATTATTATTAACCAATCTCTAATTCTTAATTTAATAATCTATATTCGTACTCTATATTTTTGCAATTGTCTCAAATAAAAAATCATTCAATAATCACATTTCAATTTACAACCTTTGATAAACCATACTTCAAATTATAATCAATTAATATCAAAATTATTTAATTAATAATATTAAGTAAGATCATTCAATATATTTTTAGTAAATACTAGATCCATTATATCGATGGACAAGCCTCTCTTATTAAATGAATTGGTTCCTGTACACTTTTCTTTAAAGTATTTTAATCTTCACTAAATGTCTCTCTAGTTGCCACACTTTTTATATATGTATTCTATGGAGGATTCTCAATATCGACTCTTCCTGATTTTATTTAATTTTCAGGGTAGTTCAATTTCACAAAGGAATAAAGTATTAGATCCAAGAAAATATTAGATATTTTCAAAATGGTTAATCCAATTAAGTAAATATTAATTCCTTACTAATACAATTGAATTTGTATATTTACATTTACACATTCTGCAACAAAAGTGCAACTAACAAAAAGTTCACAAAAGATATAAAATCCTATAACAAGATGTACTTCATTTGCAAATCTTTTCTATGGATTTAGTTGACATATTATGCATAATATTAAAGTAATCATCTCCATTACACTAGAGCCTAATATCGAAATCGATCTGTTTAAGTTAAAGTTATCCATATAATAACTAAATCAAAATGAATTATTACTATAAATAAAAAGACATTAGATCTATACCTATGGCAATTATGTATATTTAAATTTGAATAGCTATTCCAATTAACTTATTTGAGAATAAGACCAAAGAGGAAATCATCCCAATTGATAAAAATTCAAATATAATTAGCACCAAACAGTCTCCTCTTTTGATATTCACTATTATTAAATAAAGTGAAATGCCAACAAACAGAAAGACTAAGCAAATTATATATGGTTTCTTTATTTTTCTTTTAAGTCTGATGAATGCTAGTCCTAAAATAATCTAACAAATTAAAAATTGTATGATTAAAAGTAATTAAGAGGGCAACTCATCAGAATAACTTTTATATATGAAATTTTTACTTTTCTAATTGAATTGCAAAATAAATCAAGCAAAATAAGCTTGTTAAGACATGGAATTAAGGAATAGCAAAAAAACACATAGATTACATTGTTAATCTAAAATTATTATTGGAAATATAATCTTTTTAAATGTTCTAATAATTAATTAATTAATATCATAATTAGTTGTATTAAAAATGATTTAATTTTTTTGAGATTATATATTATTTTTATAACAATAAAATTAATTTTAATTAATTAAATATCAATTTAAATTATCTTTTATTTATTCACATAGATTTATATATTAAATTTAATAAATTATATATTTATCATGTTCTTAATTTCAAAAACATTCTTTTGATCATTCTTGCTTCATAAGAGACTGTATGTTTCTCATCCATCTACTCAAGAGGATTGATCACCTAAATATAATATAATATAATTACTGATGGAATTGCTTTACCACAAGAATCAGCTGCATCTAAGAAATCCAATATTTCACTATAAGATGTATCTTTTAATATAATCATGTGTTTTGCTAGTACTTCAATAAGTGCAAGGAAACATCTTTTAGCATAATACCATGTGTCTGTGTTAATCTAAAATATATATAAATATATCTACTTTTTTATTATAAGGTTCCAAAGATTTGATAACTCTTGAAACACCAAATTCATAATTATTTTTTGAACAATATAATGTTCCAATGACTAAATTTACAATACAAAGATGATAAACAGGTTTATCAGGTTCAGAATATTATGATTTTTATTCTTCAGCTTCTAATTTTCTCATTAATTCTTCAGCATCTTCATTTTAATTAACCATAATGTAACTGACACATAAATTAGCTATGACAATTGCTGTTAATGATAATAGATTATCATTATTTTTTTTAACAATTGGTTCATAATATCTAATTGCTTCTCTATATTTATTATCTTAAACATAAAAAACATGAGCAACATTCAATTTCCAAACATCATGATCTGCACAAAATTCTGCTGATTATCTAAATAGTTTTTCAACTTATTAATAATTATCTTTATCCCAATATATTTTAGCCTAAGCCATTAAAACAGGAATATATTTTTCAAGACATTCATCAAAATCTTTCAATGATTTTTTTATACCTTCATTATCTCTATTGAGTCTTGCATCTTAAATTGATTTTGTAATTCTTCTAAGTGTGTCAATATGTTTATTAGATAATATTTAGAATTTTCTAAATGATTCCTCTGGACTACTGGCTGTTAATATTAGAGCATCAACAAATTCAAAATCATCTTAACTTATAGTATTAAATGTAAGATCAGCATTTTCTGCTAAAATATCTGCAGCCATATCAAAATATCCATATTTGCAATACAATAATAATAGATTTGAAAATGTTTCAGGTGGAAATGGAGGATTTTATAATAAATGATTCAATTTTTTAAATCCTTCAGCTGTTTTCTCTTCTATATTCATTAATGCTTAATTCATTAAAGAGACTGGATCTAATTCATCTTCTTCTCTTGGAGGCATATCAATTAAAGCTTCTTTTGCAGCAGAATAATTTTTAATTGTATATTCAATTGCAGCTTTTAAATTAAAAGCTTCAATTAGAGCTGATTCTTTTAATGCTTATGAATTTCCAACACTTTTAACTTCAATTCCTTCAGCATTTGATCCAACACCCAATTAAGGATGTTCTCTAACTCCTCTTTCAATAATTTCTGCAATGAATTTTAATGATTATGCCAATTATTTTTATTTATAATAACAAAGTGCAATGTTATATGACAATTCACAAGAATAACCAGTTAGATTCATTGCATCTTAAAATCTTTATCTTGCCTCTTCAAATTTATTCTCTTTAAATAAAATACAAGCTTCATTAATTATTGAATCAGGATCATCCATATCATTTTATTTGAGTAATGTTTTTGCATGTTGAAATTCATTCTTCTCATATCGAATTAAAGCTTGTAATTACAAGATTTTGCCTTAATATTGAGTGTTTTCAACAGAAGCACAAATCTTAAGAGCTTCATCATAGAGACCTATATTTGAAAATGAATTAAATGTTTACTATCTTTGTAATAAGATTGAGCTAAATAGATTTTATAATCATCAATTTCTGGATAATATTTGACTAATTGTTCATAACTAGATTAGAGAATATAATATTTACATAGCTACAGCTTATGAAAAATCTTAATTCATATAATGACAATATGCCAAAAGTGAAAGTGCTCTACTTTTTGGACAGAATTGTAATTCATAATTCAAATAATTGATAGCATCTTTGTATTTTTAATCTTTAATTAAAGTGTAGATAGTTCTAGTTCGTTATCCTTCTGCAATTGGTTGGACTGGTTACATTTATATATTTCAAATATATATTAATATATATAAATTTTTAATGAGTAGTTAGTAAAGTAAAAAAAATTATTAGATATAATGATAGTAATGGTGTTTAATTAAACATAATAATCATGATTTTAGATTGCGTTGTTGATATATTCACCATTAAAATTAATTTTTCCCAATCAGATTAAACAATCAAAATTTAGAAAATGCATCGCAAATTAAATACTATTCCTCCTTTAAACTTTGTAACACATGAATCTTATAATGAACGTCATCAAATCAATGGCATTTAAAGTGAAGCTACTTCACCCAATTATTTATTGGAAACTCCTGTGTTGACTAACAAACATTAGTTTAGAAAAAATTCAAATCACCTTTTACCAATGGTTTAATAATCATCTCCTTATATTAAACTACCTATGATTGAAGAGAAGTTTCTTACTCCAAGATAATAATAAATAAATTTAATGCCTGATCTAACATTCAAAGATTTATTTAAGAATCCAATATATTATGAAAAGAATGGTTTAAGTCCAAAAGGTAGTGAGGAAATATTAAAGAAATTGAAAATGAGACATAGAAGAGTTGATTTCTCAAAAATGGTTGACATTGTAGATGAAACGACTAATTCAATAATTAAGGAATCCCTGAATGATCACAAAGAACATAGAAGATTAAGCAAAAAAACTACTCGTCGATTTCATTTAAGTAATCCTACATAACTTACAGAATTTGAATGATTTCTATTATCATATCTCAATTAATTTTTATAAGAGAAATGAACTCATATCTAAAACCAGCAAGATCATTACATCTTGTATCACAAAAAGATGAATTTAAATACAAATCTAATTAAAGAGACCTTGATTTCGATCCAGCTAGTTTTTTAAATAACTTTGACGCCATTCCAGATTAGAATTTAAGGTTCAAATCTGAAAGCATTTCTCTTTTGACTAAATAGACTGATTAAAAAAGAGAAATGTAAAAAACACAACATACTAAATTTTTGGTGCTTCCAAAAATAAATTCCAAGTTTGTTCGAGACAATGCTGTTGAAGAAGTTTACTTCCTTCCCGAAACAAAATAAAAATATTAACATACCAATAGATTAATTCATTCTAATACTATTCTATAACCCTCTATTGATAAGGATAGAAAATCATCCAAAGATCTTGATTTACTAAATGCCAAAAAAAAAAAAGTAGAATTCAATACTGCCTTAGAAATTGTAGACTTTGAAGGAAGAGTTAGTACTGAAATCATTCATCCTGAATAACAAATAATCTCAAGATAGAAAAGATTCTCAAGACTCAAAACACTTGAATGCTGATAATTGGTTTTACTTATTATTTCATCATTTATTTTTCTTGTTTAATTAACCAAAATGTATATCTTAATTATCAAGTGACTCATATCATTGAAAAAAATAAGATTAAAATTAAATTGAATGAAAGAAATCATAAATCGTTTTTATAATATTTCATCTCCAATAATTCTTTGTCTTTTAAAGATTAAAATAAAAACTTTAACGAATCCCTAATCGGTGATATCAAAAATTGTTTTTCAACTTAAACCAAGAATAGATTCATTTTATACTCTTCTAAAAATACTTTAGGATCAACTCCATCTATTTAAATACTAATAGTATCTCTTTCAAGGATTTCAATTTTAAGAAGTATCTTCTTATTTATACTCTTTTATATTTGAATGAAAATATTAAAGATACATACCATAAAACTAACTAATTATTAGCTATATGTTCTTATTAGAAACTACTTACAATTCTAACCTTGGATAGGTAACAATTGTAAGTTCAAAAAATTATAATAAGAGGACAATCTCTCAAGTAGTAAATACATGTTTACTATCCCGATTTATTCATTATTAATTGATAATATTGTGTACATGCCCAATTTAAAAAATTTATTACTTATATGGTTAGAACTAGAAGACATTGATTTTAATAATTGCTTCTTGAATAACTTATTTGATATCGATTATTTTTATTTATTTTAATAATCTTCTAATATAATTAAACATTTAAATCTTTCTACATTAAGATTGCATATACGAATGGAATACTGTTTTAGATTATGGCTGTAAAAGACATCTTGGTTATTATTTACTTATGTATTTTTCTTATGTATATAATCATCAAGTAATTTTTACTCTAATGTTTTCTAATCTCTATAACAAAATCGAAGGAATGATCTTAAATTGCATCCATCACAAAAATTTTCATCATATGAAGGAAACTTCTCAATTTGATTGCATAAAATCGTTCTAAATTGCTTTGTAAAAGTGTCTAAAGTAAATTTGAAAAATGGTTTTTAGATTATATTTGGCAGCTACTGTTACCAGATTTAGTCTTTTAAAAAGAGTGTAAATTGTTTTCTACTCCATTCTTTGAAGAGATATGTTATTATTATTTTAATGGAAGCACATAAAATGTAATTTAGAATATACATTATGTTGATTCGAGTACTTATTAAGTATTCCATTAAAATGTTGTTAGCCAAAGATAATACAATTTAAAGACAACCAATATCAAAAACTTACAAAATATGTAAGTGATATTCTAAATCTGTGAGGGTAATTAGATCTGTTATTTAATCTTCATGATCAATATGTGAATAAAGGTGTTATAACTTTTGAGAAATCAAGATTAGATTTTCGAGGAATATAGCATATTTTACAAATTGAGGATATTTGCAAAGAAAAATTAAAGTAAATAGTATCAAGGAGATATTGATTAACTTCCAGGCAAGTCCAGTTTATAATGAGCAATATAACCATTCTGAAATGAACTAGAGAACACAAATTACTAGAAAGATAAGTAAAAAGTAGTAGTTTGATTTAGTTCTATACTTTTCAAATTAATTTTATTCATATTGTTATTCTAGAGCAGCATCTTCAAATCTGAGGGTAAATCTATTCATTATATGTGAATTAAATAATGGAAATTTAAAGAGATTACACTGAAGATAAAAATTAATTTTTTATAATTTAACATATAATAATTTTTTCAATTATAAATTGCTTTCTTTTTAGCTTAAGCCTAAGATGATAAATTAGTGCCTTCAGATTAATTTATAAGGGATTTAACTCTTACTTTCATAATACTAAATTATGGTCCAAATAGACCCAAGAATATTGGTAGTAATACTAAACCCTAAGAGTAATATAATTAATAAATTTACATTGAAAGCTCCCAAGACAACCATCAAAATATACATTCTAAAATAGTAAAGTTTAAAAAGAGTGGATGGAGCAAATCCAAGGACAGCCACTCCAATAAATTTAGTACAAGCAATCCCAACAAAAACAGAAGTTCCCATTGTTGACATAGCTCCAGTAACTCTTTCCCATCTTTTACCTTCACATAATCTGAATTTAATAACAATATGAGCTACAAATTCAACAGCTAAACCAATACAAGTAACTAAATTTACAACGCTTACTGCATTAATTTCAATCTAAAATAAAAATGTATCTTTACAATAAAACCACCAAAAATAACGTTGGTTAACCAGATTGTTCCAATCAGATTGAAGGCAATCAGAAACACAAACAACACAACTATAACAGCACAAACAACATCTTAAACAAGTGTCATGGTGAAAAAGATAGTTGCCAATGCTAAAAGTACATTAGTAATAGCCACTGCACGAATATAAGAATATTGATCATAAAAAACATAAGGCATAGAATAAGGATAGACTTTTTAATTATCTTTAAGTTTGGCATCTTTAACTACTTTATCTATGACTTATCTGGTTTATTCTAATGATAAGATATATCCTGCTGAATTATGAATAGGTCTATGTTGAAATCTAAGTCTACTAGTTTTTACATAACCTTATTCATTGAGTACTATATCAGCCTCAAAAGTTTCACCACAAATACCATATCTTTGACAACATGGAGAATTTATTCTAACTCCTAAGAATCTTTTTAATTAAGTAGGTAAGTCATAAAGTGCAATATCCTATGTTTCACAAGCCGTAGTCCATTCAGCCTTTTCTCTAATAAAGAGATTGAAAGAAGCCACCCAACTATATATTGGAGGTTGAACTGTTTCATTCAATTAAGATAAAGAATTAGACAAATTTGCAACCAAATCTAAATCATGTTAATTTTAATAATCTAAATTCTCTAAAATTAAATAAGCCAATGGTCCTATTTCAATATATTTCTTTTCTAATGTCATATAATTAAATAGATTTGATCCCTCAACCATAGATACTTATTCATCTAAACCTACTTATAATTTTGTTATTCCAACACAACTAATGGCAAATAATGCAACAAAGATTACTATTGTAGTAATCACACAAGCAGGTTTCTAAATAAATGGAGAGTAATGTTTTTTAAAGAATGTTTATATGAGTTTTCTATCTTCTTTAATTGAATAATTTGGATCCTATTTACAAATCATTAAATCATATCTTTTATGTTTTTTTCTTTATTCATCTAATGTGAGAAAGGCAACAAACATAGTTATTTACAACAAATAATCTATAAATACACCTACTGCTGCTTAAATACAAAATGATTATAGAGCTGGCATCTTAGTTAAAGATCCTACTAAAAATGCTAGAGTTTCACAAATAGCTGCAATAGTAATACTTGGACCTACTTACTTTAATGTATAACCCATTCTTTCAGGTACTGTTGGATGCTTCTATTTTTTATAATTGTGAGTAATAATAAACATATTATCAACTCCAATAGCCAATATTAAAAAAGGAATAACCTTTAAAAAATTATTAATTTTCTTACTTCTAAACTTATCATAGTCAAACCTATGCTAAAATAAGAGACCATTCCAATACTACTTATCATTGAGACAGCTACAATAAAGATACCTCCCAAACCCAATGTAAATCCATTATAGATTTTACTTGGAAATTAACCAATTGCAAATCCAATATACATAAACATCATAAAATATGAAACTACAACAATCCAAGCATTTTGATTAGTTTCATCATCTATTTCATCTGATACTGATCTCTCTGCCATAAAAGCAACTCTATATTAATCTAATAATTATTCTCGAGGAGCAGGCATTAAAGATTTATCATAATACTTATATAATTTAGCATAATCTCTTTTATTTAATGCATCTAAAGTATCCATCCAAACTTCTTTCTCCCATTATTCAGCATCTTTCTTAGTAAATTCATCATTCATCAATAGATAAGTTACTGCCATAGTCTTGGCTTAAATATAACAATGATCACATGGTTAAGTATCATTTACTCTTTATTCACAATTTCTAATTTATTCATAAATGATAATACATTCCACCAAATACTGATTCTAAAATTATTGGAATACCATTCTTATCACTACATGGAATATTAGTTTGGTTTACATCAATTGATTCTGTACAAAGTGTTGTGAATTGTATGTCCTCATCTTTCTATTATAATAATATTATTATTATCAAACATCTAATAGCGAAGGATCCTGTAACCAAATATCCATTGGACTAGGTACATAGCATCCCTTTGCAGATATTGGTCTGTAACACAAATCATCAAGTGTTGTATTCTTTCCTCCTATTAAGACTTTTCTATTTCTAATAATGTTCTATAAAAAGTAGATCACTTTTAATCCATCTTTTTGAAATACATTCACCCAATTTTCATCTTAATAGGCTAATATAAATTAATTAGTTCTATAAAAAGGACCATAATTTTCAGCAGAACTCTCTTATTCTTAATAGGTTCTACTACTTGATGATACCCATAATGCTAAAAAATATTATTAAATATTTTACACTAAGGATCTGTTAATACAGTTAGATTGTATAGTCCTAAAGACATTATGCCTGTTACTGTCATGCAAATTACAAACACAAGACATGGATACTTGGCTCCAAAATAACCTATATTATAGAAGAGGCCAGACATTAAATCTTATTAAAATAATATTATTGTAAATATTATTATTCAGAAATTCCGATATTTAAATTCAATTTAATTGCATTTGGCATCTTTCTTGATTATGCAATTAACAAATTAAAATCATATTGATTACTCACTAATTTATTAGAAATAATCTAAAAATATTCTGTAATTCTTATAATTCATACTACCTATCTTATTATATTAATCAGATTTATTTTCTGGTATTAGCTTTCAGTTGGTTTGGTTGAATTGTAACATTAATGAAATTCATCAAATATGAAGACACTTTGTTATTAATTAAATTGATGATCTGTAAAAGAAGGAAATGTCTTTTTGATTAGCATTATTTTCTTTACTTAACTGAATCTTCAATCCAAATAGGCAAAGTATGGGATATGAATCTAATCTTTAGGATTAGAGCAACATAAAATATGACATTACAATAGGACTATCCACAATTTTAGAATGGAAATTGGATTAGCATAAATAATTCAAAGGATTCACCATTGATATTGCCAAGAAAGAGAAATATTTTCTTGTTTCTCACTTGGATTGTCTGTTTCTGAAAGAATAGTTAGATGGCAAAGTAGTTTATAAGAATATCAATACCTTTTACAAACCATAAACAATTATTGGAGAAGGTAACTTTGGAAAGGTAAGACTGAAATGATTTATTATAGGTCCTGCTCATTAAAAATATACAAGATGGAAAAATGTATGCAACAAAGACCTTAAGGAACGATTTGATGACTTCTTTAGACGTATTGAATTTTATATTTACAACTAGGACATTCAAGATGAAATCGTGGCATTGTAATCCTTAAAACATAGAAATGTTGTTTAGTTGAAGAGTATTTTCTAACACAAGAAGTATTGGCTATTGATAATGGAGTATTGTGAAGGAGGTTAATTAAAAGAATATTTGGAAAATAACTCTTTGGATAGCTCTGAAATTATTGCAGTAATGTGTGTAATAGTATTTCTTTATCAAAGTAATTACTCTCAGGTTTAGCCTATATACATAGTTAAGGATTTGTTCATAGAGACATAAAACCTGAGAATATTTTGTTAAGAAAGAAGGATTCTTTACTTGATATTGTGATTTCTGATTTTGGATTCGCAGTTAAAATAGATGATGTATCTACAAACAGACCAAGATGTGGTACACCAGGATACATTGCTCCAGAAATAATTACATTTGATCAAAAAAATAATTACAATGAATTATGTGATATGTTCAGTTGTGGCGTTGTACTATTTAAATTGTAAGATCTAATTATCTAATTTATAGAATAACAGGAAAGAATTTATTATAGGAAAATAGCAATTAAATAATTGACTAACAACTAATAGGAGATCTGAGTGAAGTAATAAAGTAAGAGATACAAGGAGAGTTTGCAAAAATCTTACTTTAAATGTTGGAATAGGATCCAAGTAAAAGAATCACAGCAGAATAGGCCTTGAAACATTTTGAAGATTTCGATGATATGAAATTATATCAAGAGACTCCAATATAATAGTTAAAACATTTAGCAATCCATTTTCTATTTGTTAATTGATACTATCTGTACTTACAATAATTAAATATTCCAAATACTCTATTCAATAAAATTATTATAAGTTTTTCATAAAGTACATATCATTGCACTAATAAAAGAACTAATAAGTAATTTAATGTTAATTATACCATTAATATATTGGATATTAACATTTAACTATTCTTTATCTATATTTTATAATTGATTTTATACAATTATATAATTTATTTTAATTTAATGATCTTAAAAAAATCTGATTAATAAAATTCATAAGTTCTTAAATTATTATAATAAAGTATTTGCATTCATCATAAATCACTTCTTGATTTATTAATTTTACTTTTCTTAATTAGATGAATTTCTTCCATCATTAAGAATTGATTGATTTTTCTTATTCCCAAGAAGTTAAATAGAAAGATAAATAATAGTAAATACGTTATTATTCAACAATTCTAAATCCAAAATTATCATAAAAAGAATTAAATGCTTCCTAAATTATTCAACATTATCTTTCACTTTTCTTATAATTGTTTTTCATTATCAAGCACCTTACTAAATATTTCTAACTTAAATTACTTTTAAATTATTTAAAAATCAAAATTGGTAAAATAAATTCATTTTTTTGACACTTCAACAATTCTAAAAAAGACTTGTAGAATTTAAAATCAAATATTTTGTAAATATTCTGATTTATAATTTAAAATTAATACCATGTGTTAATAAAGCTATTAAAAATAAATTACACAATTTACAAAACCGTCTTAGAATTGATAAAACAATTTTCTATTTTTCCAAAATTTTTGTTATAAGCAATTAATAAATTTGAATTTTTAATTTATTAGATATTTTCAAACAAATAATTGGAGTTATTTAGCATAAAGAGAAATAATAATTTATAAGACAAATTTAATAATATAAAGAACACTTAAATTTTTATATTCTTAATAAATAATAAGAGGATTATGAATATATTTTTAATTATTTATATGTACATTCAAGGATATATATTATTCAAAGATTATTAACTATTATTTTTATCAAAATACTTAAGCTTATCCCGTTAAAAATTAGATAAATATAATTGATTTAATTGCTAACCTAAACTTCCTATTATTCACAATTATGAATTATTATTTTTATGACCAAGTTTCCCTTTTAAAACTATAAAAAGGAATCGTTCTACTAAACATATATGAAAGTGAAAGACTTTGAATTAAGAAAATATTATTTACACAAATAATATATTTTTATAATGAATATGATAATCATTTTTAGATCATATGATTTAACATTTAACTAAAGGAAATTTTAAAGAATCTAATTAATAATGAATTAATTTTATGAACTTTTTATAAATTTCTTTAATCATTTATTTAGTAGGTCCATCAATAGAGCTCACTATCACTGAGATTAATGAGCCTCCAATATTTATGACTATACATCCATATGAACGGAGAACTATAATTTTCAATGATGCTCGAGATGCAATTTTATAATCGCTTAATCTTAGCAAAGGTTGTGAATTAACTTCATTACAAGTTTAATTTGAAACTCAAGAATTCACAATCATTCAACCTTAAGATTTATCAGAAGTGGACTTTGAATAAGACACTATTCTCAACTTTCGTTAATTTGTGTCAATGATTCATATAACAGATGGAATGTTAGCAATTACTTCAGATTCAATTGCATATCTTCTTAAATTTAATTATGATACTGTTTTTGAACATGATTTTGTAGAGAAAGGATAATAATTTGCTAAAATCTTATGGAAAGTAGATCTTCAAATCATTGCTCCTTCATTAGTTACTAAGAATGAATTACCATAATTATTATTTGCTCCTTCTTCTGATTAAGTTTTTTTGCTATTTAGTGATAGTGCTTAAGTTTTTAGCATGAAATAAATGGAATAGAAAGCTAATGCACTTGAAGTATATTAAATAACTGATTGGAGAAAAAGAGTATATAGAGGATTAACAAAGGAAATAGATGGATTAGTATTTAGTGCTGTTGGACTAGATGGATTAGATGTTTATAAGATTATATTAAAGGATTTAAAATTCATTAAGAATTTGAAATTAAAAGATCTAGGTTTGAATTCTTAAATTGAGATTGTTGATTTTGCTATTGTAAAACATGGAACAACATAGAAATACTATTCGATATTTTTATTGGACAAATAATGTGGTTTATTATTGGTAGATGTTCATTTAGATTAATATATAAATTTTGGATTGAGATCTTGGATTAGTTATTAATCAGGTGGAATATCAGTTGACACTAGAAATGGACGAAATGTATTTATGGCTTATTAATCAATGAATCATTATTATGTACTTGAATACAATGTTGATTTAAATAATGGAAATTATTTTCTCATTAGAAAAAAGAAAATAAATCATCGCATTATTGATTTAGATGCAACAGAAGATTTTGTTATTGTTTAAGGAGTGAATTAACATTTAATTTTATTTTCAAATGGATATGATTATGTTATGAATCATCATAAAGATTAAATATTTAAACATTTGGGTTTACGAGACTTTGTGTTTTTTAATCAATCATACAAATTAGAAGATTTTGATGATATCACTAAAGAATATTAATATGATGATTTTTTTTTTGGGATAACTGCTCAAAGTGCTTTTCTTACTCGTTTCTAGATTGAACCTATTAAAATGAAATGTCTCTATTATTAAACTGATAGTAAAAAAATTAATATTATTTAAAGTTGGTCAAACTTTTACATACACTGTTCAATATAACACTACAGGAAAAGATGTTTAAGATTTAGTAGTAAGACACACACAAATAGTAAATATAGAGATAGTTAAGACATATTTCTATGAAACAGAGTATTTATTATTTTATTTGATTGGTTTTATTGGATTAATATTAATAATGGGATTGGGATATTTAGGTTATTAGTATTGGAAGAATTAAAGAGAATATACAAAGTTAGAAGCTATAGACAAATCTGCTAGGGAAAAAGGTTAAAAGTAGAATAATGTTTCATCTACTATAAAGGAAGATTAAACTACAGTATTTTAATAATAAAATAGATCTATTGAACCATGATAAAATTCAAAAACTATATAACTCATTTAATTTAAAATTTAATTAGGCTTAATAATCTGATGTTTACTTTTTTTCATATATCAATGAAAAATCTATATTCGTATTTCCATTCATTATTTTACTTCTTGTTAAACACATCTCCATCATGTAATCTAATAAACAAAAGACATCATTTTCTTTTACACTTTACAAGACTTATTTAGAAATGTTGATCACTCTCTCTTTGATTATCTTTTCTACTGATATTAATTAATTTAATGCTAAATCTCCTCCTTCTATAAATTAACAAAAATCAGCAGATAATCTAAGATTAGACAGTAATCCTATTCTATCGAAATACTAAATAGTATTATTAAATAGTTCAGATGCCAATTGACTCTCCTATTACATTTAACTAATAAATTTTATGTATTCAGTTGTCTTTTTATATTATTCAAATAATGAAAGAATATTGGACTATAGTAATTTAAATGAATTGGCAATAAATTTGGCTGATAATAAACAAAGCAATTCAAAATACATCTCCTTTTTTTAATGTTGAGAAATAGTTGATATATGCTAAGTCATTTCCACATTAACAAAATGAGAAAAAATGATTTACATTCTTTACAAATTATAATTATTCAATTGACTTTAAAATCTTTGAAAAGAGGCATCACTTTATTATATTTGTTGAGGTTAATTTTATTATAATTAAGGTTAATCCAATATATAACTACCATTCATATTTACATTAAATTAAATAGTATCTAAATTCTTTTTTATTGATTCAAACATATTGAATAATTCTGACCATTCCATTCTTTTACTCTCTTCCTTCTCCAAAGCTCTATTCAAGAAGTTCTTACCAAAATCAGATAATTAAGTCCCTACTTAAAATCTTAATGGTTATTTCATCACATTCATTGTTAAACTCTTCTCATCTACACCTGTCCATGGTGCCATACCATATATCATCTCATAATAAATTACACCTAATGACCATATATCTGATTTTGTTGTATATTTTTCTTTTTTTAATATTTAAGGAGCCATGTATAATGGTGAACCAACACAAGTTCTTAACAAATCTCCATTAAAATTATCAACTATTTTTGCAAATCCAAAATCTGCTATCTTTACTACTCCTCTATGATTCATAATATTTGCTGGCTTCAAATCTCGATGTATGATATTTGCCTTTACCAACTCTTTAAATCCACTAGCCAATTAACAGAAAATCTAATTAACTTCAGATTCTGGAATACATCTTCCCTTCATTATATTTCTCAGATCTCCATCTGCACAATACTCTGTGACTATATAGATTGAACGATCTGTATTAAATTTATCAATAAACTTCACAATATTAGGATGATCAAGTTACTTCATTATTTAAATCTCAAAATCTAAAACATTTTCATTCTACATAGATACTTAATGCATCAATTAAATATTGATCTTTATTGATCATTGAGCTATCTATCTTTTTAATAGCTACTTCCTAATTTGTAGACAATTTACTTCCTCTATAAACCTTCCCAAAAGCCCCTTCTCCTAATAAATATTTCGAGTCAAATTAATAATCTCCTAACTTTCTTACACTTTATTCTAATTACTATTACATAATTAATTATAAATTTATATAATCACATCTATAATTTTTTATTTTTTTCAAATTTCTATAGATTACTATATAAATAATAATCTATTTTGTTGTTTTATGTACTCCTCATTTTTATAATCTGATCTAATTGAATTACATATTCTTCAATGAGAATTTCAATGATACTTAATTCTTTTATTAGTCATCTATTAAATTCTTAGAGTGGGAGATGATAAGAATATATTGTAAACTTGTTTCACTCTTTAAAAATGAAGTTAATTTCTTTTATTTGATGTAAAAAATAATCAACAATAATTTCAAAATATAATTTTATTGAAACAAATAACAAAAGATCATAATAAATCAATATGTTTAAGACTTCTTGCATTTATTTCATTGAGTTAAAATGGTATATATATTTACTAATTTAAATTGAACTAAATTTTATATTATTCTATTTTCTAAAATGAACTAATCAATTAAATGTAATCTGATATTTATTATAATGTTCTTTTTATCTTGTCTATTTCAAAATTACCTGACATGGTAAGCTATTTCAAACTATCTTCTTCATTTGTTAAATTAATAGAAAGATATGTTCCTTTTGAATTCTCTGCAACTATCATCATAATCAACAAAAAGATATTTGAAATAGTATTTAAATTACTGTTTCCAATAACAAAAGCCTTAACTGATAAATGAGAATATAGATTGTGTAAGATATGTGCCAAATTATAGATGTTTATTTCAGTTTCTCGTAACTTAGAATGTCTAAGATCCTCAAACAATTGTAAAATTAAAAGTTTTCTTTCCAATAGACGGCATTTAAATGAAGATAATCTATCTAAATGATTTAAGACTTTAAGAAGAAGTTTTATAAAATTTCTATGTCTCAATTCATAAATTGATGTATCAGGTTTTTTTTCATTTAAGAAATCTCTCATAAGTAGAAGTATAGTTGGTTTGTTTCCATAATAAATAGAGCATTCAATTCTTATCATTTTTTTTAAGTATTCCACTACTAAAGTCTTATTAAAAACAGATGCTCTGTCTACACGATACTTTTATATTTGTTTAAATAAGAAATTCTCTAATTTAGTTCCCTTATATACTGAATCTCTTATAAAAGTAGATCCATCAAATTATCTATTAAAAAATTTTTAACATTGAGCTTCTGATTTAAGAGTAAATTATAAGGTATCCTCTATAAAAGAAAATACTACGTATGGTTGTTTAAATGCAATTGAACTTAAGATTTTTTACCAATGAGAATCATTCAATGTATATAGATATTGATTACGCATTGCTTTATGATAATGATACAAGTAACGAATTGTACAAAAGATAACAAGCACTGAACTAATTATGGTTGAGAACTAAACTTAATTAGTTTGAACTTAAACAAAAATAATTCTCATCAAACCTATAGTTATTGCTGAGAAAGCTGTATCAATAAACTCTCCTGAAATAAACATTAAGAAGTTTGCACCCATAACATTAGCTCCCTTAAGGAAATTATTGTAAGAATCATCCTATTCTGATATTTAGAGACTAAAAAATAGTGCTAAGATGTGATTCAATAGAATGATAGAAATTCTTATATATTTTGTGTATTTCTTAATGATTCCATATTAAATTAACATGTAGCAAATAAACAAGCAGTATTTGTAAATATGTTGATATTACTCTACTAAAATGCTCTCAATAATTTTTATTATAACAACAGCGAGAAGTCCAAATGTTACTATATTAAGAGTGAACATTCTAAAACCTTGTTAAGTTATATTTTGATAGCTAGATTCAATCTCTTTATCTTTGAAATTTAATGTATATTTATTCATGATTGGATAAAATATTAAATATGAAAATGAATATGAAAATCATTATTAAAATTTAGTAAATACATGTGAGTATAAATAATATTTCATATAACATAAATTTACTAATTCCATCTTACTAATAATATGATCTAAATTTTAATAATTTAATAGATTCCATCTTATCATTCAGTCTTTAATTCTTAAAATAATTTTATGAAATTATTTCAACTTAAATATATATATATGATTTTCATTATCCTATGACATAAATTTAAACTTAAAATTTCTGATTTCAATTTATTAACTCTTCCTCTTTTTTATAATGTTTACTCAAACTATAAACTTGAAAATTCTTTTTAAAATTTAATTGTCTATTTCCATTAATATTATCGAATTTTTTGTTATTTATAAAAACTACTTTTCTCTAATCATATAATTAAAACCAAAAATCTCACTTCAACTATTTCTGCTAAAATATATTTTAAATTAAACCTACTTCATAAATATAAAATAATCTAATTTAAATAGTTCTATAGATTTCTTTACAAACATAAGTATTTTATTTTGAATTTTTGAATTCAATATTAAGAAATAAAGATTTCAATATATATTATTATTTCTTTATGATAATCCAATTTCTATCAACATATAAGTATTAATAAAGTATAAATCTCTTAAGAGTGATATTTTTATCTATTTTAATTTATAATTTAATATAGATAATTGATATTGGAATGGCCATTAGAAATTCACATTATTTTAAATTGTAAAGCAATAATCTCAATTATCCAACTCAATTTCCAATTTAGATAGATAATAAAAATACTTTTATTAAGTAACCCAACTCAAATGTATTAGAATATAGAGAAAATCAACAACATCAATAACAATAAATAAAATTGAGATCCATATCAATGAATGATGGTGAGTAAACAACAAATGTTAAACCACCTTAGATTTTGAGATCTCATTATCAGAACTTAAAATATAAATAAGAATGTGAGAATGAATAAATTTAAAGTTACAATAGTTCTAAGTGGAATACAGAAGGTGATTAATAAATAACATAGAAAATAGATTTAAATAATTAATTCTAATTATAGAATTAACCAAAATGTCTCTCAGATTAAATAGATCTAGTATTAAAATAATAAAGATTATAATATAAATAATTAAACAAATAATATTAATATTATTAAGATATACTAAGGAAATAACAATTAGATTTAAGTTAAGATGAATTTAGAGTACCTACAATTAATAAAAATTATGAATAATAAAAAAATTAAAGATAAAGACCTACTTCAAGTTATATAACAACAAAAAATAATTCCCTTAATTGCACATAATCTTACTTTATGTAAACTTATAGTCCTATATGTTACTATTGTAAATCTGAAATCTAGGTTAAAGCAATAAAGTTTATTTGCTATCATTATTATCATCAAGAATGTCTTTCTGAAATGATACTATATCAGATTGAATAGAAGAAAAAATCACCTTAATGTTTATGTGGACTTAATATAAAATAATAAATATTATTATCATTACCATAAGGTTAATAATTTGTAAGAATTTTGATGTAAAAATAATTAAAATAAATTATTGAAAAATATTAAGAAAATTTAAATAAATGTCCAAATTGTGAATTTAGATTTATTTAAGATTATCGATTAAGTAAATCATGTTATTGTCCAAATTGTGAAAGAACTTTTAAAATTTAGTGATAAATATTTATAAATTTATTTGCTTATATAAATTACATAAAGTTTAATTTAATAATTAATTATTATTTAATGGTTAAGCGTAGCAAAGAGTAGTTCTTTAAAAAGAAGATGAATACAAAATTCAAAGCATCCTAAAAAGGATCAAAGAGTGGAGCCTCTACTAATCCAGATAGAAAATTACCTGAAAAATAATTGAATGCTAAACATTAATTTTTTAGATCTAAATAAACAATTCAGAGATTGAATCTATACAATGAAAAACCTAATAAGTATTCATTAATTTGAATGTCTAGAGAGGAAATGTGGAAATAAGCAACACAACCTGCAAGAATAGATCCCAATAGAAAATGGTTTGGAAATATTAGAACCATTGATCAATAATAGCTTGATAAATTAAGATAAGAAATGGCTAATAGAACACATGATCCTAGAAGTGTTTTGATCAAGGCCAAATAATTGCCTTTGTCTTTATTAGTAGAGGCATAAAAAAAGAATAAAAATGTACCACTTTTGGAATTGGAGAGTTATGAAGTATATATACTTTACAAACATTTAGGATACATATGGACCTAAATCAAAAAGAAAGAGAATAAAATTAAATGTAGAAACAATGGAAGGATTGGCAGATCATGCTGAACAAAAGGAATAGACATATGTAGTTGAGAAAGATTTGAATTTGAATCCTGTAGAGATGTTATAAAAGGAGAGTAGAGATAAAAGATTAACAGCTGGTTAATCAAAGAGAATTTGGGAAGAATTATATAAGGTGATTGATTCATCTGATGTATTGGTTTGTATACTTGATGCGAGAGATCCAATGGGAACAAGATCATATCATTTAGAAAACCATATTAAAAAGAATTGCCCACATAAACATTTAGTGATGCTCATAAATAAATGCGATTTGATACCTACATGGTTAACATCTAGATGGGTTTAATATCTTTCAAAAGAGTATCCAACTGTTGCCTATCATGCAAATGTGAATAAAGCATTTGGTAAGGGTCCATTCATAAATCTATTAAGATAATTTGACAAATTCCATAGAGATAAATAAACTATTTCTATAGGTTTTGTTGGATATCCAAATGTTGGAAAGAGTTCTGTTATTAATTCATTAAAAAAAAGAAAGGTATGTAAGGCTGCTCCAGTTCCAGGAGAAACTAGAGTGTGGCAATATGTAGCATTGACAAAAAGAATTTATTTAATTGATTGTCCAGGAGTAGTTTATTAAAATGAGGGAAAAGATGATGTTGAAGTTGTATTGAAAGGTTGTGTTAGAGCAGAAAAGTTGGAAGATCCTGAATATTACATTCCAGCATTATTGGAAAAAGCAAAGGCTTCAGATTTAAAGAGAATTTATGATATTGATGATTGGGTAGATGAACACGATTTTTTAAAGAAAGTAGCTATAAAGAAAGGAAAATTAGCAAAGGTAAATAATCTAATTCTATTTATAGGGTGGCGAAGCTGATACCAAATCAACAGCTAAATTGATTTTAATGGATTGGTAAAGAGGTGAAATCCCATTCTTGACATATCCTCCTGATTATGTACAAAAAGAAGCTGTTGAAGAGAATATAGACATTGAAGTTCTTGAAAAATAATAAATAGAACTTAATGACTAAAAATTATAAGAAATACTGAAACAAAATTGAATTGTATTTATATGTTCTTATTATTTGTTATGTAAAATAAATTAATTATTAGATTTTCTTTTATTTTTAATAATTGAAAGATATATATATATTTAAGTAGTACTATTTTTCTTATAAGAGTTTTATTAGAATATCTTAAAGTATTTCTTTTCATAATATATATATAAGCTAAACAATTATATATATAATTTTATCAAATAATCACTTCTATCTCAAATTGCTAAATGAAATTTAATTAATTCAAATTATAGTTATCTAAAATCAATCAATTTTCTATTGACCTAACTTAAATTATTTATCTAAAAGTTCAAGTAATTATGAGACATTCATAAATAAAACGACAACAAAAATCTTAATTGAATTAAATAATAATATATATGATATAAATTCTATTTAATCAAATTCTAAATTCAAAGACAACAGGAGAAAAGAGAAGAGGTCATATTTAATTTCAACAAATTGATGATTTCTTAATTTTCAGTTACCTTAATTGCTGATCTCAATTCTTAATTACTATATAAGCCAGAATTCAAGAGCAATTTAACACATTCTAAATGATGCCATCTTGATGAAACTTCTAATGGACTTTCTGTGAGATCATCAAATATGCGACTTTTGATATGTATATTGCATTCAAGAGATAATAAAAATTTGATAACTTGAATATTTCCATTCTTGGATGCAATATAAAGGGCATTTTGACCATATTAATTTAATGAATTTATGATATGATTTGGATCTTGAGGATTAGTCAGATTACTAGAATAATATTAATAATTACCGTTTTGGATCTCTTTATAGAATCTTTATCATATTTTAAATGTCTTCATTTGAACCAGATGTAGAATATTAAGTAAAGAGACATACTAATTTGAATTAATTAAAAATATCCATTAATCGAAGATCCTAAGAATCTGTAACTGGATGAATCTATTTATAATTGTTTTTGTTATTAAAATAACGCTAAGTAGATCCAAAATTATCATAAAATTATTCCTAATTTTATTTAGTTCTATTTTACTGTAGATGTGATAGGTTCAACAATATTTTATTGTAATCTCCATATTCCCATAAACATATTTCCAACAGCTTTGAGTTTATTTTTTGATTATGGAGTTGGAATTACAATTAAATCAGTATTATGGGATTCATAATTTCTTTCATATTGACAATATAATTATGGATCCTCTTTTAAAGTAATGTCAGAATTGGATTTAATATCTTTGTTCAAATCAATCAATTTAGTATCATTAACTTTAATTTCAAATGAATTTTATACAATTCTGATTAATTTGTAAGATATTATCAACATTAATTTAGAACTCAGATTCTACATTCTATATAATATATTTAATATAATTACTTAATTCTATATGAAAGGATTATCTAGATTGCATTCCTACTTAATCACTTTTGTTTGAGTCTGAGTATTCCAATTCTCAAAATTCACTTTTGGAGTATCTAAACTATATGTTCTCATAATATCATTGTCAAGACTGAAATTTTTGTGATTTGATAAACACTATTCTGATTATGGAAATTTCTGAATAATATCATCTTTTTAATGGAAACTATTATCAAAATTAGGATTCATAAAATAATATAATTTATTCTTTTAATTTTTTATTCAATTTGGTATAATGCATAAATATAATTCAATTTTCATTATTTCTAATATTTTTCCCAATATTTATTATAAGATTAATGATTCTTAATCAATTAATCATGAGTACCCTATTTTTTAGAATTTATATAATATATACATATTCATATTGACAATTCTATCCCAAATACAGTATCTTGTCTGCTACTTTAGTTAAATGCAATCTATGAGTAATGATCAAAACTGTAAGATCTTGAATCTTTAAAACTTATTCTAATGTTTCAATGAAGAATTATTCATTATTTTAATCCAAAGCAGATGTAGGTTCATCCAATAATAATATTTTAGCACCTCTTAATAAACATCTTACTATTTATAATCTCTATTTTTCACCTCCAGAAAATTTATCTAAATATACTATAATATTCTTTTACTTGCTTAATCTCCCATCTAAGTATCATATTGATTTGGTAATGATTCAATCAAATTAGACAATTTCAATTATTTACAAAGACTCTTCATCTCTTCTTCTTTTTATTTGATCATCTCAGGTGTAAGATCATAAATCAAATCAAGACCATATAATAGATTATTTTTAATGGAATCATTAAAAAAATATGATTGTTATGCTACAATTCCAAAATATTTTCGAAATGATTCCAATTTCAGAGTTTTAATATTTTAATCATCAATAGCTATATTTCCTTCAGAAGGGTCTAACAATCTAAACTAATTTTTTAATCTTTATTATTTACAATTAAATTAAACAATGTAGATTTTCCTATCCCACTTTCACCTACAATAACAATCCATTCACCTCCTTTAATTTATAAATTAAAATTCTTAAACAGTTGTTTATTTTAAATATGTTCAAATGAGATATCTTAAATATGGATTGAACCTGTTTTGTAAATGAAATCCTTTGCATTTGGTAATTCCTATATTTTAGGTACTCTTGTCATTATCTACAGTAGATCTTTCATGTCAATTGCAGATTCAACCCATTCTCTATGCATCATTCCTAATTGAAATAATGGCTGAATTAATTAAAGCATTAGAGATTGTATCAGTATAAGATCTCCTGGAGTGATGACACCAGCTTATACACCACTAACTCCTAAGACTAAATTGACTGTCAATCCCATAGAAAGTATTAATCTTTAAATAGCATTAAGAGTAGCCAATGTTTTAAAAGTGTCTATTGATAATTGTTGTAATTTCTTATTAATTTAATACTATTATTTACTTCTAATAAATTATTGTATCTTTTTAATTCATATTTTTCTGCACTAAAATATTTGACTGTGAATAGATTATCCAAAGCTTGTGAAATTGTAAAATCAGCTAATTTTTCTTATTTCTTTCTTTGTGATATTATTTTTCTTCTATACTATTTAAAGCATATATCCAAAAATCATACATTTGAATAACGAATTGTAAATGCAGTATAAGCAGTAAAAGTTACCAAAAATGATGTAAAGAATGGCCAACCAAAATTAAAACAGAGTATGGCTGTTGTTAATGAAATATCTGCTAAAAGAGGTAAGAAGTATTAATTCAAAGATCTTAAATTTGATTCTATTCCTTTTTATGCTTTATAAAGAGAGTAAATATTTGATCTAGATGATGTATTTAAATGAAATTCAGCATCCAAATATAACAAATGTTCATATGTTTATAGAGATATTTCTCTCAAAGCTAATATGTTGATTTCAGATAAATTTCTGTTCCTCAAACCTTCAAAGTATACATAGGCAGAGTAACCTATTTTATAATTTATTTATTACAAACTCCGTACCCAACGAAAAAAAAAGGAGAATACATAATAGTGGCTGGATTTGAAACCATATTTATGCCATATTTAATACAAAAGGGTCCTCCAAAGAAAAAAGATTTATTCATTATCAAATTAAAATAAGCCTTGAATTATAAGGACTTTATGGAATCTAATTTAGAATATACTTATAATACTGGAGGTTTAAGATGTTGGTAAACAATACTTTTTATAGAATTAGAGTAGTTTAACTTAGCTGTCCTGAATTTAAAGTTTATTTTTCAGAGTCTATATTAATTTATTATTCATAAAATAATCATTTAGTTTGATACCTTCAATTTATAGAACAATATGAATTTAATAATATAAAAATGATTATGAGATCAATAATATAAAATTGTTGATATATTCTAATTAATTGTCATAGTATTCATTATTAATTATACAATTTGCAGTAGTAATCATGTTTTAGTTAAACTTTTTGAAGTTGATTCCTGATATTTGCATTATCTGCTATGATTAATTATTCATATAATCTAGTCTAACTTTTAAAAAGTTAAATCAAATGAGCACAGATTTCTTTGTAACTCATCTAATAATGTTAAGAATGTGGAGATGTAGTAACTCTAACTGGCTTGCGAATTTGCATTAATTCATTTTCTTTATTGGGAGAGTGCAATCTTAATCGTGGTTTCTACTCACTTACATTAACATCTTGAAATTTACGTTTAAGGTTTATTTATTCGATAAAATGGGGAACATTTGCTTATTCTTGGATGTTTCTATGCACTAAAACTACCATTGATTCCTAGTTCATCTGCACCAAAAGTAAATCCTGCAAATGAAGTATCCATATGTCTGTTATAATAATTAATATTAATAATGCTAAGTCATTAAAAATTCATTTTTTGTGGGTTCAATAATATTTTAGAATTATAACATAATAAACAAAAATTATATTTTAGTAGATAATTACAAAAAAGATTATGTGAATGAATATTTATGAATAATCACATATATTATGAAAAAATAATAATTTTATGCGAAAAATACCATTATAAAGAATATTTTAATATAGCAATATCATTTATAGATTGAGAGAAAAATAGTAAATACAATTATTATTCTAATCAAAATAATTAATCAAAAATTGGATCATTTTCATCATTGATGAATACTAAAATATAAAGGATGGAATTCTTATGTAAATAGGAAAAGTATATGCAATTATATTTATACTATATTATTATTTGAGTAGAAAACATTAGAATATATATGAAAATGTTTAATCATTATAAAAAACATAGATCTATTAGATATTTTAAATAATAATGATTGATTATATTGATTTTCTAAGAATATTCATTCAATTGTGTTGAGATTTTAAGAAATAGTATCTAACTGTTTAGCATAACTTCGAGCATATGGTGTAATTAATTAAAATTCACCAAATTTAGTCTCATAATTCTCCAAGACAGATATTCTACTCATAGTTCTAAAAGATGGCTTAGTTATGAGTCTATTCACATAATTATACATATCTTTTTTTCTAGGATGTATTTGATGTTTAATTTATTATTGTTTAATTACATTTGTTGTGTATTGATCTTGAATATTTCTTTAGATTTGAAATAAATACCCTTCATGAATTCTCTGCATTTCTAAATAGACCTATTCATCGAAATAAGCCATCCATTAAATAAAATGAGTAAGTTATTATTGAGGACGAAGAGTATATTAATGTGGCATTTAAGAAATCAATTATAAAGTGCATCTGGAGAGAATAAGATCTTCGTTGATATATTGAATAGGCACTTTAAACACATCATGAATTTCTTTTAAATGAATAGTTTAAGCATAGATTTTGGTAAGTTAATTTTTAATGTAAGCATCAGTACGATATTTACGCATTTCTTTTATATCTTTACAAATTCTTGATATGTAATAACTTAAAGGATGATGATTGAACTTAAGATTGTTTACTTAAGTTTTTATTGAATCAGTGACTGTATAAACAGTTTAATATCTTTTAGTATTGGTTCGAGATTCATCAAGACTCGAATACCTTACTCTGATAGCTTTATTCATTAATTTTATAATAAAATATAAAAATTAATTTTATAATAAAATAAAAAATTCATATTCTTAACTATATGTTAATAAATTATTGAAATAATATCCCTAATAATAAAAATTATTAAAATATTATCTATAATTGTATCTATTTTAATGATTTAAAATACTAAATTCTATTATACATTTATTTAGTTATTCATTAATAATAAAGTACCATATATCTCTAATACTTTTATGTTAATTAAGAATACATAAAATTAATAAATTTAAATTCATTATATTATAAAATATTAATTAATTATAGTGTTTCAACAAATCAAATTTTATTAACCAAATAATCTTTCATCAGTTGAGTAAATTGGGATTTATGGAAGAGTATGTTTAATAAATTAATTTTCTGTCAAATTGAAACATGCTCTACATGCAGGTTTATAACAATCTTCTCCTCCAATTAATTCAACTTAATTATATTTATATTTTTATACTTTCTTAAGATTAAATAGTTCTTTTAGTGAATGAAGCATTTTCTTTCTTACAAAACCAACAAACAGCAGTTAATTTGGTTATACGTTCAGCCAACGGAATTAAACTCAAAATATTACGAAAAGGTTTTCTATCAAATGTACCATCAAGAGCTGCAACAATTACTATTTTGCCTAAATTTGCCATAGCTTCACTAAATTCAACTATCTAAGAGTATATTATATATTAATTTACATCACTAAAGAATTAACCTTCATCAATAGCTACAACATCATAATCTTTACATTTCTCAAAAGCATCAAATAATTTAGTTACTTTTATGGCTTTTAAATATTATCTAATTATTTAAATTAAATAATTACTTGTCATGACTAGAAATACATTAATCATCTGAATATCTGTTATCATTAGCATAATTTAAGACTACACATTTTCTTTCTGAAATTGTAAATCTCTTAACTAATCTCATTAATTCACTTGTTTTACCAGAAAACTACATTACTAAAATTTATTACCATTGGACCATATATTACTGATATAGTGCCTGTGAACATTATTTTTAATTTTCAAATTTTTTTAATGCGCTCAAATATGTATTTCAAATTAAGTACCTTTTCATTTCCCGCTCTTTTAAAATTTTAAAATACTACTCATTAACAATCAGGAGATATTCTATTTTAAGATTCTTAAACAATACTTATACTATTAAACAGAAATTAACATTATAATAAAACATAATCAATATTATATAAATAATCATCAATATAAGTATACAAAATTTATAATAAGGAACTATGTATATGATTAAACCACATCAACCATAAGTGTAAAGTATTATAAAATATAAATATTTATGTAATAAAAAATTATATAAAGACTTCATGGTTAAGCATAAAATTATGCTTGGGGAATGTTATCAACTAATCCAGATTGTTTAGTGTATAAATTGACACAAAAGACATCAAATGAAATAAAACCATTTGCTGAATTTTGGATGGGAAGTCATCCATCATTACCTTCTTTATATGAGAATGGTGAAAAGGTTAATTTAGATCTCCCATATCTATTTAAAGTATTATCTGTTGATTAAGTATAATATTTAAATGATTAAGCCACTTTCCATTTAAATACATCCCAATAAAGAGTAAGCTAAAGTTCTACATGCAACAAAACCAAATCTATATCCTGATGATAATCATAAACCAGAAATGGCAATTGCATTAACTAATTTCGAAGCCTTAGTAGGTTTTACTGACTAATAAACTATCATTCAGAATATAGAAAGAGTATTATATATAAGATTATTCTCCTAGAATCCTTGTGTGATATAGAAAATTGGTGAAAATTTGTGGAATCAATTTGTTGTTGCACAAAATTAATAGGCTTAAGACATATTGAAATAAATAGTAGCTAAATTATTATCATTGACTCAAGATGAAGTTAAATATCTCTTAGATAATTATTAATGGCCAATAAAATGTAATCCTAGTCTAGATCCAGGATCTAAAATAGAAAAATATGATGTTGGCTATTTATTTCTTTTGTTGATGAATCATTTAATATTATAACCAGGTTAAGCAGTAGTATTAGAGGCTGGATTAATTCATGCTTATTTGAAAGGTAATATTATAGAAACAATGGCAAATTCTGATAATGTTGTTAGATGTGGATTCACTCCTAAATAGAAAGATGTAGAGACAATGAAAGAGATCTTAATTTGTGAAATGAAATAGCCCAACTATGTCTAACCAATTATTGAAGAATCTAATGAATATTCATTTAAATAATACATAACTAAGTATTAGGAATTTGCATGTGTAAATATTTGTAATAATAATATAGGATTGTTTAGAATTAAAACCTTAAGAGAAATCTAAAATATTTAAAATTAAATAAAATTCTATCTTATTGTGTATCTAAGGATTTGGAAAATTAATAAATGAAGAAGGACAACACGAACTTAATTTCGGTTAAACTTACTTAATCAATAAAGAAATTGAAGTCCATTTCCAAGTAGATTAAAGTTTATAATTATATATCTGTTATTCATAATGAGTTATTTTATTTAGTATTTTAGTATACATTATAGTAAAACCATTATTAATAAATGATTTGTTTTATTTTTATATTGTTTCAAGTTTCAGATAGTTTGAATTTGGGAGAGATTCCTTGTAATTAATTTAATGATGAAGGAATGTGTAGATAAAGTGGTTATTGTTAATGGTCTGGGTCTTGTTATGGATAATATTGTCATTTAATAGATGAAGTAGCAGCATGTAGAAGTAATGGAGCTATGAATACATATTGTACAGCTGTTCCTTATACACCACTTCAATATGTTTAATCTTGTTATGAAAATATATTTACAGAATAAAAAGTATATTATTATAGACATGTTTCTGATTTGACAATAGATGTTATACAAAAAACAAGTATTTTATTAAGTGATTTAATAAATGGAGAGAGAAGTATAACTAATATGTTAAGATTATACAATCTTGATGTATTATCAAGATAGAATGATGAATTACATTAAATTTTGGATTTATATATATCATATGCGGAAATATTAATTAGTTAATATTCACATCCATATTATTTAGAGAGAATAATATATGAATCAATTTAAAATATTAGAGATAATACATAATTAAGTTTTTAATAAAAGAGTAATACTATGATTAAAATTTTGGATTTGCTAGATATTTACTATGTAAGATTGAAGACTTTTTCAGAATATTATTATACATAATATAATTTTATTAATTTCAACCAAATTCATTTGAAATATTTATAATTATAATATTAGGGATTAGCTACTCTAACATGGACTGATTATGAAAGTAATGGTATGTTATAAATGACTGTATTATATGCAGAAATCTTTGGTAAATAATCCCCCTTGACTCCAATTTATATCATTAGAACTAGTAACAATATAAATTTATAATACAAATTAAAATGCTATTTTAATACCAATCATCCAGTAGCTCTTAAATAAATAAATTTAATAACAATGAATATGTATGAGACATATGTACAACCATAATGTGGTAGTGGATATTGTGAAGTCAATTTACAAGGAGCAGGAAATTATTTATTTGTAGATTTAAACAAAAATGATTAATGTAATAGTATAGGAAGTATATCTACTTGTTAATTAGCTAATTGTATGGTAGATCTTTAGAACCATATATGCAATTGATGAATTTACACTTTAACATGTATAATAGAATTATATATTATATAGATCTTAATATATTTTCTATTAATAATAAGATTTTTATTAATCTTTTTAATTCTTAACAATTTTACATTCTAAATGAATATATTCTTAATAAAAAATATATATATATATATATGTTAAATACCAAAACTATTTATACAAATTGGTGATTAAATGATTGATTTAATTTATAATTTAAATTTGATAATTGATATAAATAAATGGGAGTTTGTACCTCATAAAGTCAACCAAAGAAAGTAAAGCAACATAAACATTAATCTGTAACCATGCCACCTTAGTAGCCACTAACTACAAGGGAACAAAAAACTGTTACAGTGTAATTTTAAGAGCCAACTTCGATTCAAAGAATTACTACACCAGTTCGTCGTGTTTCACCTAATCAAGCAACAACCCCTGTCAAAAAAGCATCACCAAATTAAGCAACAACTCCAGTTTAAAGAGTTTCTCCATCTTTGAATTCAACACCTAAAACTATGATTGTCTAATCAACATCATAATAATAAGAAAAAACTAGAAATGGATCATTGCTAAATATTCCCATGTAAAGAATGAGTACAAAACCAGGAACAAAATCAATTTAATCTCCAGCCTCTAGAAAATATTCTGTTGTTTCTGGATAAAATCACAGTAAATTTTTTGTCTAATTATTTAAGATAATCATAGTAAAACGGTCATGTAACACAATGAGACTGGACAATTGGTACTAGTAGAAATGCTTAAATTTGAGAATAGAAATCAACAATATATTGACATGTTAGATGAACTTCAATTAGTAATTTTCTATAAAAATATCCATTTTAGAACCATATGCATATAGTTAAAATTATAGATATTCATATTGATTCACATAAAAGAAATTATTAAGTTGTTTATGAGTATTGTCAAGGTGGAACACTCTCAAAGTTTCTAGAGTCAAATAAATTGGAATATTAGACTATAGGATCTATATTTTATTAAATGGTAGAAGCCATAGCATATATACATTAATTAGGTTACAGTCATGATGAATTAACTATTGATAGTTTTTCAATATTTGATGATACTTCTACACCCTTTATCAAATTATCAGAAATTAGAAGCATCTATTAATTTATGTATCCTAAAAATTCATTACATTATGAACCACCTAATTCACCTAATCATAATCATTAAAAAGATACAAGTAAATTCTAAAATATACAAACTAAAAATAGAAGTTAATCAAATGATGTTTGGGCTTTGGCTATCATTGTTTTATAATTATTAAATTAATAATTTCCTTTTGATATTGAAGAAATTAACAAATTCAAACCAGAAAAAGTTTATGCTAAATAATAATTAGATATCTATCCTCTTATAATTGATATGCTTAGACATAACCCTAATGAGAGATTGACATTAGATAAATGTTTGCTTCATCCTTATTTAATGAATATGAAATAGATTTAAACTAAAGATTATTTGTAACCCTTTATAAATATTACAAAATCCAAGAATATGACTTATCTACATAAATGTCTATTTCAATATCTTCTATCCATCTATGCGACTGATCATTTAAAAGTATTAACCAAACTATTCACTAATGCAGATCTAGATAAAGATGGTAAATTAAATGAACAAGAATTATAAATACTCTTCAATGAAAAACCTTAAGAATATTCATTCAATATTTCCGACTTTGTTGACATAACTCTAGAGGATTTTCTATTATTGGCTGCTGATAAACAATTTGTACTTACTTAGGATTGTATAACTTCAAGTTTTAAGACTTTATCAAAACCTTACAATTACTTAACACCAAAATTAATTTGTAAGGTTATTACAGATTGTGATGAGAATAAACTCTAATAAGATTTTGATGCATTTAACTTAAATTACTCAGTAAATATTATTTATTAATTTCAATTTAGTTTTAATAATAAGAATACGAAGGATTTCTCATCAATTATCAATCTCCTAAACCAATTGTTTGAAGATGCTGGTCAAAATTGTATTAATTTTATTATTTATTTTCATTCTTCACTTTCAAAAATCTATAAAAATTTCTTAAATCACAATTATATTATATTCAGTAAAGTAGATCTAATTAAATATAATAAATTACAATTATTTTATTAATTTAAGGTAATAAAAAAGTAGATTAAAAAATAGGATAAATTCAAAAAAAATTCTTTGATTATTCTTTTATTAATTTCACATTATAGATTGTCATATATATGTATGGATTATATAAATATAACTTATCAATTAATTGTTCTTATATATATTTTGAAATTATATTAAATTCATTTATTATAACAGTTTAAATGATAGTGATTATATTTCTGGAATTAATATATAGAGGTATTTAAATTTGGAACTCAAAGGTTCAAAAAATATTCAAAAAAATATGAATATTATAATGTATTTGATAATTAAGGTGGATAAATTATATATAATGACTACTAATTTAGATTATTTTTGCAAATTTTTTTTATGAATTCCCTTTTCTTATACTTCAAAGATCCAAGAGTTGAATAATCATATTAGATTTCAAATTAACATTCGAAGAGACTTAGTACATTTATATGTTTAAGTTTTGGATTCCTAATTGCATTTTTAGTCAAAGTAATATAATCAAGTCATGAGAAAAATAATTATGGATTTATATTGAATTTATCTATGTTGATTTACTTAGTTGTGCAATTGATTTTCGTTTGGAAAAATAATTAATATCTCAGATTGGGTATCATCATATTAAATCATTCCGTCACTATCTTTTTTATTGCTTTTGAGGATAGATCAGGAGTAGATAATTAAATGGCTATGCTTTAAGGAGTTAATTAGATGGCAGCAACTTATTTATTGGTCTTGACTGGAGAATACGTTGATGGTATGATAACCATAATAACACTTTAAATATTTAGATTACTTTGGGGGATCTTTAAAAGTGATGGCATGCAATATTCTGCACTTGTAACCTCCACTCTTTTAATCCTCTATATTAATTATTTCAATTATTAGTATAATAAGGCAAAACGATCGTAGTATTTATTAACTTTAGCTGACACAAGATGGGAAGACATTCTTAAAAAACTCTTATTGCAATAGTCATATATGATTTTGTAATTTTCAGAAGAGAATTTACACTTTTCTGTTAGGTAACTCAGAAATTGTGAAAAACTCTTCAAAACAGAAGAAGAAGCCTATTCGTTTTTGAAACAGGCCACTCATTAAAATAAAATAATGTAGAATGTTATCTATGATTTCATAAGGAAATTTTAATAAAATAATTAACAAACTTTCAACAATACGTTTCTGATTAATTTTCTTAAAAGAACTATAAGGGCTGAAATTTCAATTTATTAAGGAGATAAGCCTACCATATTATTATTATTTAAAGAGTTTTTTTATGAAAGGAGAATAAATACAAAAATAATATAAACTCAATATGATTAAATGATAAAATTGATGGTAAAAATACTTAATCGTATAAATCAATATCCCATTTGCAAAGATAAATATTAATCCATATAAAGAAAATTAATATTTATTCATTTGATCCAAAATATAAAAAGGGATATCAAATTAAAGAAAATATCATTAAATGATTTCCTCAAAAATGCAATTAGATTACATAGTCATGTTTAATTTAATTTTCAATATTATTGTAATCCATCTATAGAAACATCTGTAAATATCTTATAAATTGTAATTTTGCAAATATTTTAAAATATACTAAGTTAAAACATTATTATTAGAACATCCTATACAAAAGAGAAAAAGATCAGATGTCAATTTTTAGGTTATTTTAGCATTGAAAAAATTAGAAGATTTAAAGACTATTTGGAAATACCATTTCTATTATTATTTGAATCATATGATTTAAATCAAGAAGGTAAATAAATATTTATATATAAAATAGTAATTTAATTCGTCTTTCCTCATTCTATCGATATCCCTTTCAATAAATTTTGATTTCTACTAAAATTAATATAATATAATCTAATCTAATCTAATCTAATCTAATCTAATCTAATATAATATAATATAATATAATATAATATAATATAATATAATATAATATAATATAATATAATATAATTAATAACAATTATGTATTCATAAAATTTAAGTAGTATCTATCTAAAAACATTTTTGTTTGAATCTAAATTATAATTCATATAGCATAAATATATTTAAAATTAATAAAGATGAGAAATTATACTTCAGAACACATTTTATTCAATTATATTTTATTCTATAAAGATTATTAGAATGTAGTTATTTCTTTAAAAACCTTTTTAATTCAATGTAAAAGTAATTACAAATAAAAATACTAAATTAAAATTTTTTATTAAAGAAATTTGATTCAGCTTTATTCAACTCTAAAACTAAATGGATTTCTTAAATGATAATTTTTTGGACTGTTTATCTATTAATCATGATAATTATCATATATTTTGCCTTCCTTTAAAATTTTTAGAATGTCCAAAGAATTATGAATACCTTTTCGAGGATATTTAAATTACTGAAGTATTTGGCATTAAGGATTAATTGTCATTCTTTATGCAAGAAGTCTGTCAAATAGTGTGTTGAATTAAAATTTAAATTACATCAGTGCGTTATCTATAATTATAATTACTAATTTATACTATTATCTTGGGAATTTTTATTAGTAATACTTTATTTAATAATTATTTCCTGAAAATGATTTATTTTTTATAATAAACTTTATTGTTCAA